AAAGGTTTTATCACTCCATAAATGTATGCTTATACTGAAGATCTGTGTGCAAAATCTTGGTTTTTTCCCCTTTTACATGTTGATACATTGAACTTCTTGTTGGTAAAGGAATCACATTTGTTGAGTAATTCTACCACCTAGTGGCCAACATATTGTTGAGAAAAGTGTAGACAAAAATGTGCTTTAGCGCCTTAGACTGGAGTCAGGCAACCATTTCCAAGAGTTTTCCTTTATCAGTGAATGAAAAAATATTTATACCTTGCCTTTCTCCTGAGGTTTAAGTTCTTACAATTTTGAGTTAAAATCGTACATAATACACTAAAACCCATTAACATCCCCCTGAAAACGCCTGCAGCATTAACCCATTAAAAACCCAAGCCATTAAAACAATCCTACGGCCCTTCCTAAAATGTTCTAAAGGTGGCACCTCCTCAGGCAACCTTAGGCAACAGCCATAGTTGAAAAGGGACTGGGCTGTGGTAGATGCCAGTCAGGCAACCTTAAGCATGGATACACCTAGAAAGTGACAACTAGAGAACTATAATTGGTGCATAGGGTCATATGGGGAGTCCTTCTGATATCTATAAGTTGCTGGAGTGCATGGGCAGGAGGGAGCTGTTGCAGTCATCCTGCTTGTGGGCTTTTTAGTTGCAGCTGGTTTGCCACTGTGTGAACAGAATACTGGATTTGATGTGCTTTTGGTCTAACCCAGCATGGCTGTTCTTATGTTCTGGGTCATAGGCCATGAAGGGCTTTAAAGGTTATAATCAACACCTTGAATTGAACCTGTTGGGGGAGGGACTAGCAACCATATTTGCTGTTTTAGACTAGACAAGATGCATTCCCATCTTAGCTGGTGACAATAATCGGGCTGACACATTCTGGACTGATAGCTGTTTCTGGGGTGTCTTCAAGGGCAGTCCCTTGTAGAGCACATTACAGTAGTCAACCATGAGGTTACAAAAGCTTGGATTCGTGTGGCTAGGTCAGCTGAGTCTAACAGCGCCATTCTAAGTAGGGTTCCCTTTAATGTCAATGGTCTTAGAAGGGTACAATTTTGCTTTTAGGATGGACGTTGTAAGAAAGGGTGAACCAAATGTGAGTGGAAGAAAATACTCTTGGCTGTCACACCAACTTGCTTTTCAAACAACAAGGCTGTGACCATGAGCTCCCCCAGGCACTTAACGTCCTCTCCAAATGCCAGCTCCACTTCATATAAAATAAGTTGATCCTGTCCCTCCAAAAGCATCAGCCTCCTTGACCCAACATTTCTCCTGTCTTGTCTGGATTGGGCTTTGTGTGTCTTAGCTACTTGATCATGACCTCAAAGCATTAGTTCAGAACTGAGAAGGATCATAGAATCATAGAGTTGGAAGGGACCTCCAGGGTTATCTAGTCCAGCCCCCTGCACAATGCAGGAAATTCACAAATACCTCCCCCCTCCATACCTCCACTGACTGCTGTTCCACACCGAGAAGATGGCAAAAAATCTCCAGGATCCCCAGTCAAACTGTCCTGGAGAAAAAAATGTTTCCTCACCCCAACGTGGCGATCAGCATTTTCCTGGGCATGTAAGAAAGGGCCACAAGAACTAAACACTGATGCAACCCTTCCTGCTCTCCCTCTCATGAGCTGCATAACTTCACAGAATCAGCATTGCTGATTCTAGCCTCTTTTTGAAAACCTCCAAAGAAGGAAAGCCTCCCACCTCCCAAGGAAGCCTTTTCCTCTGAAGAACCACTCTAACTCCTTTTCCCCCCTTCTTGAAGATGGGGACAACATTTGCCCGCCTCCAATCTTCTGGCACCTCACCTGTTCTCCAAGAATTCTCAAAAATAATGGACAGAGGCTCAGAAATTGCATCTGGGATTTCTTTTAGTACCCTTGGGTGCAGTTCATCTGGCCCCGAGGACATAGTTTCATTTAAAGAAACTAGGTGTTTATGTACTGCCCCATGCCAATCCTAGGCTGCAACTCCCTTCCCTCATCATGTGTTGTGTTTTCGCCATGTTGAGCACTGCTTCCCTCACAAGAGAAGACTGTGGGAAAGTAGGAATTGAGCAGTTCTGAGAGCCAGTTTGGTGTAGTGGTTGAGTGCGCGGACTCTAATATGGGAGGACTGGGTTTGATTCCCCACTCCTCCACTTGCACCTGGCTGGATGACCTTGGGCAAGCCATAGTTCTGATAAGAGCTGTCCTTGAAAAAAAGCAGTTTCTGTCAGTGCTCTCTCAGCCCCACCTACCTCACAGGGTGTCTGTTGTGGGGAGGAGAAGAGAAAGGAGTTTGTAAGCCGCTCTGAGACACCTTTGGGTAGTGAAGGGCAGGGTATAAACCCAATCTCTTCATCTTCTTCTTCTTTCTTCATCACCTGTTACAATTTCACTTTCCTGTCCCCACAATGGGCCTTATGTCCTTGCTCTTTTTCTTACTTTGAACATAAGAAAAAAAAATCCTTTTCTTTTAAAGCTAGGTGTCATTTGTTTATTGATGACATCCAACCCCAAAGTTCCAGACAGTTTCATTCAACAGCCTTATATAAATATTGAAGAGCATGAGTGACAAAACAGAACTTTTATTTATTTATTTATTTATTTCCATTTCTATCCCGCTCTCCCCGAACGCAGGCTCAGGGCGGCTTACAGGGCACTCCACTACAATTAATAAATAAAGATTGGTACCATCTGGCAACTATATGAAATTAATTACGAGAACCATCGATTCCTGTGGCACACACACACGCATACACGTTTCTTGGTACGACTGTAGTCCCTGGTAAACAAGTTTCCAAAGTTTTTGAAACTATATAAAACCTGTTTCCTGAAGTGAAGCTAGGATGAGTGTACCTGGCAGGAAGGAGATCTCTCTTTCAAATTATCTTCAGCTCTCTGGAAAAAAACCTGTCTACTGTAGATAAATGCAGTCACTCAGCAAAATAAATTCTGAAGACCAGGTTTAAAAAAGAAAACTACTGGATTTAATTGGACAAAAAATTAGTTGTAGTAAAAGGGATGTAAACAAGCAGGAAACATCCAATCATAACAAGCAACGGCAAACAAGCAATAAAAAGCCAGGTAACAGGACCAATGAAAACAATAACTCACTTCTGTGAGGCCAATTCCTTAAAACAGTCCAATATCAGATAGGAGAGAGTGGATCATTTCAGCCTAGAGTATAGCCGGCGCCACCCTGTGAAGCCTAATGAGAGAGTGCCTCGCCACAGTAGCTCCCTCTACTTAGATCCATTCCTCTGTCGTCCGGCCGCCAGCTGATAAGAATTCAACTCCCTAATTAACCCTTCTGGATTGCAAAAAGATTAGGGAGGGTCCTGTTCACACTAGGGGTTTTGGGCCGGGAGCGGGACGGATCGGGGGCGGAGCAAACGGGCACGATCCCACGGCAACATCTGGGAAGCGTTGCCTGCCCATCCCGATCTGTCCTTTCTGCCCGAAAACCCGCACTACAAAGAACCACCTACCTGAGTAGTTCTTCTGCTTGAAGCGCCGCAAGCCGGGACGTCGGATTGCCGGTGTGTCTTTGCGCTGGCTCATCCCCGGCTCCTAGCCGAACTGCGCATGCTCCGACATCTGAACTGTGTTTTCTCCCCGGCATCTGATCGTGCCGGGGAGAAAAGGCACCGCGGCCCAGGGGATCATGGGATCCCGCCGTGGCGTCTCAACTTTGGTGTGGCTTTTAAAAGCCACGCTTTGAGCGACTTACCCCTGCCGTGTGGCAGGGGCCGAGGTTTACAAGGACAATTCTCCCCCATAGTAAAATCTCACAGCTGAATATAATGAACATGCAAGGCTAGGTCCTACAACCTCTGTTCCTTACAACTGTCCTAAGCATTATTGCAGCTAGTAAGATGCTGCAATTGTTTAATTATCTGAATGGCTTTGTTTAATAATAATGATATGTCAGTTTACTTTCTAATAAACATTTGTTTTATCTCACAGTCCGGCATCTGATCCAATCCGCCAAGTTCCCAGTCATTCTGCCTCTTTTCCTGAAAATTATCACACCTTGCCAAAGAATGCCAGGCAGCCTTCAGGAAACTCACCACCACCCAATCGCAATTTGCCAAGCGATTACAAGTATGCCCAAGACCGGGTGAGCCATCTGAAGATGTCTCATGATGAGAGAAGAGCTAATAAAGATGGTACTGTATGGCAGCTATATGAGTGGCAACAGAGGCAGCAGTTTAAACATGGCAGTCCAACTGCTCCTATTTATGTAGGCTCTCCAGACTTTACAGACCATGGTAAAGGAAGAAGTTCACTAGATATTCCACGTTCTGTTTCTGTCCCTCCATCTCCTTCTGATATACCTCCACCGGGACCCCCAAAAACCTTTCTACCCAGGAGGCCACACACTCCTGCAGAAAGGGTTACTGTCAAGCCATCTGATGAGAGACAAACGATAGACGTTCCTTTTGCTGGCTCACCAAGGAAGATTCGAAATCATACAATAAAGGTGAGCGAATTGTATTGGTGTATTTCCTGGTTTATTAATCTGCTTGTTTTTAATGGTCTCTGCCCAGCCACCTGTGGACAGAATGAGTTTTTCTGGAATAGATCATTCCCAGGGTGGCTAGAGTGAAGAGGGACAAAAGGGGTGAAATTGTTCCGCTTTCAAAAGTACAGCTGGCCTGAGAGGAGTAAGCAGTTTCACCCCCTTAACCTTCATTACTCCAGCATCCAACACGTTTAGCTGTTTCTCCTCACAAGTCCTAGGACCCCAACTTTCTTCATTCTTCCAAGAAGCTCAGAGCAGCATACATGGTTTTGTGCTTCCCCATTTTATCCTCACAGCAATCCTGTCAGGTAGATGAGACTGACAATATGTGACTGGCCAAAGTTCACCTAGTGAACTTCATGCTAGAGGTGGGGTTTTAATCCAGAGATCCTAGTTCACGTTCTCTAACTACTACACCATAGTGGCTCTCAGCCAGGGGATCAGAAAAGACTGCGGGAATGCAGAGGAATGCAGGAAAACTCTTGTACTTTCCGTGCATGAATGGATGGATACAAGCCAGTGGAATTAGGTCATGTGGTAGCTGGTTACTTCAACATTGTTCTATTAGATGACATCTGTAGTTTCAAAGCCAATTTATATGCTGTTTGGTACATGGCAGACTTACTCGAACTAGTTACCTAGTGCAGTGATGTGGCTCCATTACCCTTGTCGCCTGTGATAAGGAAGTAAATTACTAACATGCTGTATTTTCTGCCAGCTGAGTGAAGGATGGAAGCTGCACAACTACTTCATAAGGCAGACAAGTTGAGTGAGAACTCATTCATGCACCATCTGGCCACATTTATTTATTCATGTTTTAGCTCCCTTATCCCACCCCCATAATGTTTAAAAATAGTTAACATCATTATGACAAACATTTTAAACAGTAACCCTTTACAGTTCAATGGAAAACAAAGTATTGATTTCAAGATTCCAGAAATTTCTTTGTCATTATCTTAGCAGCAGGCAAATCTAGATACTCTTCTAGAAACCTATTAGAGCCAAGGGCTGGGGACACTTGGGTTAAGACATATTCAGCCATGACGCTTACTGGTTGATCTTAGACAAATCACTGACTTTTAACCTGATCTACATCACAGAAGATATAAGCGGGCAGGGGCCCATGAGTGCCACTCTGAGCACTGTGAAGGAAGAGCAGGATGAAAATGTAATAGATCTCTCTGTGTGTGTGTGTGAAAGAGAGAATGAAAATTTAAAGTAACTTTTAATGCTGTTTTCTATTTGAACAGAATTCAGCGCACATAGACAGACGCTCCATGCCTATGATGGGATACATGACCCATACTGTAAGTGCTCCAAGTTTGCATGGGAAATCGGTAAGTATAAGTATTTCTGCTTCCTTCCTCTCCTGTGCTACCAACAGGTTCTAATGATGTCTGAATCCAAAGCAGTTGTTATTGATTTTTCGTGTGTTGCTTACAGAATCGAGTAACTTGAATTTTCAGTTTCTGCTGAAGCCGTTATGAGCTCAACTGTATGCTGTAGTCAGAAGACAAGTTGATCCTGCTTTGAAGTTTATGTGTTCTGACATTAAAGTACAGCATTCCATTCAGACAATACTATGAAATATTTGCATAATTGTGTAAAAATAAACATTTTCTGGGCACCATAGGTAAAGAATATAGCTACCGTGACTCTCCCTGAAAACTGCTAATTTCCTCTTTACAATGTGTCCAAATACCTGCAGCCTGAAGAGCTAACATTGCTTCTCATTCGATTAAGGAGACATCAGGCTAAGTTGGCTAGTATACGAAATTACACAATCGCCCAATTACTGCAGCACTTGCCAACTAATTCCACCTATCAGGTCAGCTGCTTGTTGGCTCATCTGTGCTGTATATGACGTTCTGTGACTCCGCAAGTGCTTCACTGGTGCCATGCTTGAGTCTGTGCTTTCTTACCCATCCTTCAGTATTTTTTAGTCCCTGGATCATCCATGGTTATTGCTCTGGCATGTGCTGGAGGTTATAAGCATTTTAAGCTACAGGGTGCTGCTGCGTATGGATTAACTGCTTTTTGGATATTATTTTGCTTTGATGTTTATTTTTGTGAATGTCGCCTTCTTAAAGAAGATTATTCAAAACCAAGCTTGCAGATGTATTAATTGTGGCTGAAGAAGTAAATGTCTTTCTTGTAGACAAGGCTTGCTTTACCACATCACGCCGTTCCCTCCTTTAAAGTATATTAGCAACTTGTGAAGGGTACCAGTATTACTTCTGCACTGTGTCAGTTGTAGTTTGTAGCATAAATTAATGATGATAAAAGTTTGCTAACCATAAACAGATTCATAAAACTTCTTAAGGAGTAGATAGGTGGAAGTGAAACCTGAGTAATTCAGCTGCATGACTGGTACTGCAGTCTAGGGAAGGAACTTTAGTGTGGAGTTGAAAAAGCATTCTGCGTTCGCTTGAAAGATCTGGTTCATAAAATAGAAAATGGTAGCCACCGCTAAAATGGTTTCATAATTGTCAAGCAAATTAACCGTTTAAAAACTAAAACAATAAAGCACTTTCTTTGTGAGCCAGTGTAGTAGGTATATAGGGTTTTGTACTAAGACTGGGGAAACCAGAGTTCCAGTGTCAACTCATTCTTGAACTTGGGCCAATTGTACATTCTCTTAGCCTAACCCAACCTCACAGGTTGTTAGGAGGATAAAATATAGGAGAGAAGATTCATTTACCCTGCCCTGAGCTCCTGGTAGAAAGGGTGGGATAAAAATAGAATAGGTAGGTAGATGTGCTACATTTTATTCATTTCTCATTTAGCTATAAATATGATGCTAAGAAAACTCAGTTCTTCCTAGAGGACTACTTTGTCATCATAATGCTGGTGCAAAAGAGTCCTGTAGCATTTGCCTGTTAATTACAGTATCATGATGCAGTATGCCATCATTTTTTGTGTGTACTTTCATATACAGGCTGATGATACCTACATCCAGCTGAAGAAAGACCTGGAATATCTGGATCTAAAGGTAAAACATGTATACATCATTCCAGAGATGTACAGCTTTAGTCTACATTGTTTTGCACTGCTGTCTTATCCAACATGTAGATTTTAGGTTCTTTTTGCATAACTAAGATACGTTACGCCAATCGCTTTATTTACAGCAGATGGCTAACTAAATTTAACATGAGTCCTTGCCAAAGTTTACGGAGGTTCTGCCAGCCCCAGAGAGTACCAGTGATGGAGATGAGACTGGTGTTTTTCCAAAACAAATTGTCTTTTTACTGAGCAATATCAAAATCACATATACACAAAATCAGTCTCACATTCGCATACAATCAAAGTTCCTTTAGAGTTACAGAAAGATATCAAGATAGTTTCTTATTTACTTGGAGGTAGGTAGGTAGGTATTGGTTTATACTTGCCTGTTCCTGAAGTCTTGTCTGATGCAATGTAAGATAGGGGAAGAAAGTAATACCTAGGGATGTTAACTAAATCACACTTGCTAGAACCAGCCAGCAATGGATCTCTTTGGCTGCGCACACCAAGAGATCAGGTGAAGACAAAGGATTTTAGCAGGCTGGGCAGAAGGGGAGTTAAAGCAGGCAGGAATGGGGGTGTAGCAGCTAGCAAAGACCTTAACGCATGGTCTTTGCATTTTATAGTGAAATCTTCGGTTGGGTGGCAACCTAGCCAAACTGAGATCCCACCTATCTGTAGTCCATCCCATCCCTACTTCTCATTGGTGTGTAAAGTGAGGGGCAGCACCTTTAAGGGTTGGGCCAATATTTGAAACTCTAGACTCTAACTCATGGAAAGCCATCTGGTCAGGTGTCAAATCTCAGCGTCCCATTAAAGTGCAGATCGATACCGGTCCCATTGACTCTAGGCACATCCACCAGGAAATGGCAATTCAGATGCAGATTAGCTTCGTGTAAAACATGACATCAAGTCTCTCAGCAATGGGGGAATACTTGTCTTTTTAAGATGTATTTCCTGCTAACTATGGCGAAATGTGCTTCTTATTCCCATAAGGCTTAGTAGCTGTGTTTGTGTGTCTTCAAACTTATTAGCATGAAATGCAGTTCAGTACCTTCTATGTGAAAACCTCTCTCTCACAACAGGCGATTCAAACAGCTTTACCTTTGAGCCTATGAGCAAGTGTGTGTGCACAATCTATGTAGTCTGTTAGCATATATATATAAATTCATAAACAGCAAATATAAGTCCATTTCTCAACAAATAAATTCTAACTATGAAATGCTTGACATATACACTATAAATTGAAAGCAGAATCCAGAATACCTGTTTAACACAACAATTTTGTTGTAGCATAATTTTCATGTTTCCCCCCAGCATTAAAAACAAAACAAAGAAAATGGATGTTGAAATTTGCGATGGAAGACTAAGGAAATGTTTGTGGGGAGACATTCCTTCTGGTTTATCTAATACGGTTCCCCACGCTCACCTCCCAGCCTGCTTATGAAACAGATGGGTATCTATGTATAGGGAAGATTTTTATCCAAAAAACCCAAACTTCTCTTTCATTTACCATGCAGTTTACAGCCTGCATGGCTGCATTTAAAAAAAAAAAAATGTTGGGTAAGGCTACATGCAGCTGTGAGACATATATAATTTGCCCTGAATAAAAGATAACACATTTTCATACTAGCTAAAATTGAGTATTCTTAGCTACCAATAATCAGACTAGTGTTTTCTCCTCAGACTTTGCTTACATTTCCAGTAAAGAAATAACCCAGCTGCTTATCTTTATCATATTATCCTCTTTCCATCATCATTCCATTCCTGTTGACACTGGCACTTTGCACTTTCTGCATTGGTAGGTGTGGGGTGTGTGTGTCAAGATTAAATGTAATTAACATTCCATATTCTTGAAAGAGAAAAATTTGACTGTCCTGGTCAGTGACCAGTGTGCCTCAGCCTAGGTGCAGAATTTTATGGAGAGAAAGTTTCAGGGCTGGACATCTTTCCCATTCCAAGGAGTCACATTTGCATGGTAAGATATTCAGAGGTAGTGAAGCGAGGCTATTAGGGCATTCTAATCCAGATTCTTGGATGGCCTCAAAGGTTTCAAGCCTGGAAAACTCACAGGGAAAAGCTGCTCTATTCCTATGTTGACACCACCAAGACACTGCAAATCCCTGACTTGAGGCTGATTATCTTACTCTTAACACACGCACATAGAAGAGACCTAATGACAATCTATGGTTTAAAAAGGTAGGGGAAATTTGTGCAAGAATTGGGGGCGGGGGGTTTCCAGGAGGGGAAGTGCATGCTTCTATGGCTCTTTCCTAATCCTTTAATTGTGGCCGACGGCAAGTGTTCTTAGTATCAGAACATAGCAGATGCAGAAGCTGACTTGGTTCAGGAAAGTGAGAGGCTCAGCTACTGCTTTCTAATTTCTTAGCAATGTAGACTCTTCCCTGATGCACAAAGAGGAAAGCACACACATAATAAAGCATGGGGAGGGGGGGGCTGAGAAAGAAAGAAACGAAAAGCGGTGGTTTATTTATACGCACACTAGTGAGTTTTTGTTGTCTTTGTTGCAAGACAGACCTTGAATTATCATAGAAAATATTTTAGCTGAGTAGTGGGGGCAGGGGGAATAATGCCATCATGAACATACCAAAGCAAGCTCTTTTAATTTATGTTTTTATTGTAAAGAGGCCATAATATTACTCTTAGGATCTCATACAGCTCTTCAACAAAACTAGATTTACCACCAGTTATAATTTTCCTCAGTTTGTCCATTGTGTCTTACAACACGCCTAACTACTAAAGCATTCTAAAATTATAATCATATGGGATCTAGAATACCTTTTGCCCTGAGCAGAGGTCATTTCGTGGAAAAAGAGGTGCAGGAGCTCATTATCATAACTCATTAGCATAACTTATTTGCATATGCCACACCCCCTGACATCACCGGAAGTGTGCCAGAAGGCAACACCCACCGCTCAGGCTCCACTGGACTGTTTTGGATTGCTAGCTATTGGGGGGGGGAACCTGCAGATCTGTCCTTGCAGAGGAGGGAGAGCTTGTACCTAAATAAAACTTGGTCTTAAAGGTGCCACTGGACTGTTTTGGACTGGGGGAGGGTCTGCAATTTACCTGGCTGCTTCTTGCTCTGACTGAGGGCTGCTGGGAGCAGGGGGTGGGGCTTGTTGCATGTGCCCGCCCCCTGGGCTCTTTACTGCCGGAGCTCCGCTCCTGTGCGCTCCTGCAGGAAATGACCCCTGGCCCTGAGCACTCTCAAAAGAGAAGAATATTCATGTTTTAGAAAAAGAAAATTCCTACTACAACATAACTTTAGATGAATATGGTTATTGTTTTTGTGTACTACTAATTTTTATGCAATACGGAAAAGCAGAAATAAATTCGTTTAATGAGAGTGAAAGCAAGTGATAAAAATTCAGTTACTTTTAGATATTTGAGGAGGAAATGTTGGGTTTAATGAGATGGATCCAACTGTTCTATAAACCAAACGAATCTGCAGAAGAAATGTTGACCACCTCCTGTTTCCCAGTGCAGGCCCCTTCCAAACGTTGGGGGGCCCTCAGTGACAGCACAGGATGCAATGTGGAGGCTGCGGCAAGAAGTAGCCACATCAGAGTAATTCTTTCCACTACCTTAAGAAAACTTTTGCTCTGTCTCATAATTTCCCTCAGTTTGTCCATTGTGTCTTACAACACGCCTAACTACTAAAGCATTCTAAAATTATAATCATATGGGATCTAGAATACCTTTTGCCCTGAGCAGAGGTCATTTCGTGGAAAAAGAGGTGCAGGAGCTCATTATCATAACTCATTAGCATAACTTATTTGCATATGCCACACCCCCTGACATCACCGGAAGTGTGCCAGAAGGCAACACCCACCGCTCAGGCTCCACTGGACTGTTTTGGATTGCTAGCTATTGGGGGGGGGGAACCTGCAGATCTGTCTCTGCAGAGGAGACTATTGGGTGGGGGGGAACGTGCAGATCTGTCCTTGCAGAGGAGGGAGAGCTTGTACCTAAATAAAACTTGGTCTTAAAGGTGCCACTGGACTGTTTTGGACTGGGGGAGGGGGGGGGCTCTGCAACTTACCTGGCTGGTTCTTGCTCTGACTGAGGCCTGCTGGGAGCAGGGGGTGGGGCTTGTTGCATGTGCCCGCCCCCTGGGCTCTTTATTGCCGGAGTTCTGCTCCTGTGCGCTCCTGCAGGAAATGACCCCTGGCCCTGAGCACTCTCAAAAGAGAAGAATATTCATGTTTTAGAAAAAGAAAATTCCTACTACAACATAACTTTAGATGAATATGGTTATTGTTTTTGTGTACTACTAATTTTTATGTAATACGGAAAAACAAAAATAAATTCATTTAATGATAGTGAAAGCAAGTGATAAAACATCAGTTACCTTTAGATAATGAGCTGTGCTATCAGGGGTGTGGACTAATATGCTAATGAGTTCCTGCTGTTGGGTGTGGCCTATTATGCTAATGAGTTCCTGCTGGGCTTTTTCTACAAAAAGAGCCCCGAGAGTAATTCTCTCCACTACCTTAAGAAAACTTTTGCTCTGTTCATGGAGTTTTCTCAGTTTGCCCAAGAACAGAGGCATTGACCAGATCCATACCTGGGAGAACACTTAGGAATAGAATTGCCATGCTGTGACCAGCAACTAACGGGTACTTTGGAGAGTGAAAACTGACGCACAGGCACTCTGCTGGCACGCTGACATCAAATCTGTCAAAAACTAGAAGTGACATCATAAGATTGGGGAGGGATGCTCTAGGATTTGCAAGAATGTAGGATTTTGCAAATCTTAGAGCACCATCCTCCCCCTGATGTCAGCATGCTGGTGTGACATGTTTTTATCAATTTCCCCCCACTGGTGCTTAAGTCACTGGATGGCGATGGAGGAGGCGGATGGGAGATCTCTTGCTACCAGCGGGAAACCGGTAACCCTGCTTAGGTAACCCTGTATTGATTATATGGTATAGTCCTTGTTCTCTGTATTATATACAAAATCATGCAGCTGTATTTTAGCTATTTAAAAATAGCTGTAATATTAGCAGTTCTGTTGCTGATAAATATATAACACTTTGAAAGCCATTAATTTTGTAGTTGGAGATCATTAGGAAAGGGATTGAAAATAAAACAGCTGATATTATAATGCCCCTATATAGATCTATGGTGTAGCCTCATTTGGAATGCGGTGTACAGTTCTAGATAATCTCATTATTGAAAAATAATATTATCAATATACATCGGCAAACTGTTTTGCTGTTCATTGGATTCTGGTATCAACTTTTCCTTTATAACAAGGTATTTGTTAAACTTTTGTTTGAAACAGATAAAAAATAATGGACCTCTGATCAACATGGTTTACAAAGTGCTAAAGAGCTCAGCACAAGGGTTACTGTCCAGTATAAATGTAAGAGTGCTTATGACTAAAATGTAACCATTTCATTGCTTTCTCAAATGGCAGTCAATGTTTCAACAGCTAAGCTTCCACAGGTGTCTCATGATATATATAGATATATTTATGTGTGTATCCCACAGCTTTCTGCAAGATGTGTGTTTGTGGAGGCTGTGTGCAATATTATGGCTGGCCTACTAGTGCTTGGTGCATTTTCTCATGTGTTGGAAACTTCTGGTGGTGATTCCATATCTATTTATAAAAATACAGACGCATGCTAATTATAAATGATGTTTGAATTTTTGCTGCTTTAACAATTTTTACATTTATTTGTTATATAATTTTTGCATATAGCTTTAGCATTTTCAATCTATTCTTCATGTACCTACTGTCTTTTAGAAAGGTTCCCTTGCTTGCACATTTGTTATTATAGTGATTATTTTACAGTGGTTTATACAAATCTCTGTCTTAAATTCTTGGCTGTTTAGAATTCACAAAATATGCCAAGTAGCATATACAAGGTCAGATACAAGGTCAGGATGGCAACCTTTTCTTCTTGTTGTTCAGTAATGAATAGGCAGGAAAAGTTTGCCCACCTCCAGGTGGGGTTTGGAGAGCTCCCAGATTTACAACTGATCTCCAGACCATGGCTGGTTTGGAGGGTGAACTCTATGGCTTTATACTCTGCTGATGCCATTCCCCAAACCCACCCTCTGTCAACCAAAGCAGAATAAACGGGACAAGTAGTAAATGAAACTGATAATTATAATAACATTTATACAGTATCTTATGATACTCACATACATTATCTTAGTAATCTGTGCAAAGACCCAATGATGTAGGACAACATTATTAATTACATAATGAGGGGAGGAACAGACTACAGCAGAAAGGTAGCATTTTGTTATGAGTGCAGTGAGTTTTGGATTTCCCAGCTCATTTCCTTAGCCACTATACCATATCAGCTATTGCTTCCTGCCTCAAAAGCAGAATAAAGTTCTTTCTGTAAAGTACAGATTTAGCCTATAGTTAGGAACAGACTCTTAAGAGTCCCTTGGACTGCAAGAAGATCAAATCAGTCAATCCTAAAAGAAATGAACCCTGACTGTTCCCTGGAAGGCCAGATAATGAAACTGAAGCTCAAATACTTTGGCCACCAAATGAGAAGGGAGCACTCACTGGAGAAGACCCTGATGCTGGGAAAGATTGAAGGTCAAAGAAGACGGGGATGGCAAAGGATGAGATGGTTAGACAGTGTCATAGATGCAACGAACATGAAGTTGAGCAAACTTCAGAGGATGGCGGAAGACCGGAAGGCCTGGCGTGATCTGGTCCATGGGGTCGCGAAGAGTCGGACTCGACTGTGCGACTGAACAGCAACAACAAAAGGAACAGGCGCCTGATATAATTCAATGTGGTCCACAGGCCTTCCTAAAATTGAGAGAACATAAAATTTTTGTTGGTCATTTCATTTGTGAAGAAAAGGTTAAAAGTAGTCAAATTGTAAGAACAGAAATAGTCCACAATTTAATATGGATTTTGACTTCATGAAAGATGTAAGTGTACTTGTGTAGGATAATGCTATGGGTGAATACATGTCGTCAGGGATACTAGGAAGCCCCCTTACCACTTGAGGCAGCCTCTTTATCAGATAAGCCAAATCCGTTAAGTAGCTGAAAGTATTCTTAAATAATATGATGGCTTTACACAATATTTATCATATCTGAAAATTGGCTGATAGTTACAATCAATTCTAAGAATGTGTAGTGGAACATCAAACTTTGCACGGATGATGGCAACCTTTTCTTCTTCTTGTTCAGTAATGAATAGGCAGGGAAAGTTTGCCCACCTCCAGGTGGGGTTTGGAGATCTCCCAGATTTACAACTGATCTCCAGACTATGGCTGGTTTGGAGGGTGAACTCTATGGCTTTATACTCTGCTGATGCCATTCCCCAAACCCCGCCCTCTGTCAACCAAAGCAGAATAAACACCGATGCCACCTATGGAATTCTCAGCCTGTTCTCATATTCCTGTGAGGCCCTTGCCATGGCTTCTCCAATGAGAAGATAACAATAGCATACGCCCCCGTTGTTCTTATATGCCTTCACCTTTTCTGAGGGCAGTCTTTGCCTTTTGAAGCAAACTGATTCTACCCACATGTGCACTGAAAAGACTGGGTCTTTGTATGTGATCCAGGGTTTGGCACCAGGGTTCCCTCTAAGCTGAGTTAGTGTGAGCTAGCTCACAGTTTTTTAGCCTCCGGCTCGCACATTTTTCTCTTAGCTCAGGAAGGATGGATCCGGAGCATACTAATCTATGCAGTAGCCAAATCGCTCGCTCACAGCTTTAATGCCAGTCGCTCACAAAGCACAGTTTTTGCTCACAAGACTCCACAGCTTAGAGGGAGCATTGTTTGGCACTACTGTTTGGCTTACTGTGATAGGTTGGGGGGGGGAGGTAGGTCTTTCCCCGAGTGTTGGATGCATCCACGGATACACATTCCCTTCTGTCCATCATCAGAAACAGAATGATCCTGATCTTGGAGGAGATACCCACATTAAAAAAAAATAAGTTTTATCTATTTGTAATGAGTGCCCACTGGCTCAAAAAGACTGGGAACCCTCTTTTGAATAATTTTGCTGTTTTAGAGCTGCTTTTCCCCATAGACTTAGTGTTGAAGCCTTTGCAGCAATGATTTTGTTGTAACCATTTGGGTGTGCATAATATTACAGGATTGATGTAAAGGTTGTGTGTCGGTGTCCTATGTAAAATTTATTGAGTTTTGCCACAAGTAAAACTCTAGAACTAACTAACTAACGAGGAATTGTTACGTTATATAGAATTTCAGTTTTTATGTAAGGCATTTGTAATAATCTTAGTGTAAGGGATCCAAACTTTCCACCAAATGTTGATGGAGTTAATTAAAACTTTCCCAGATATAAATATACTTACGTTTGCTGTTGTTTTCTTATAACTTATAGATTTTAGCCTCAAATTTTTATTATTTTTTAGGTAACAGGACATGATATAATAAAAGAGCGAAATATAAAACCTATCAAGATTGCAGAAAGCGATATTGATGTAAGTATGAAACATTGCTTCATGAAGGACAAAAACTTGCTGTTCAGTTGTTCTCCTAATCCAAGTGGAAGGAAGCAAGAAGGGCCTGAATTAGTCATGGCCTGACTTTTGCGGCAGCAGCAGGGGAGGAGAGACAGCCAGATGCTGGGGGGGGGGGCAGGGGCAAATAGCAGGAAAATTGGGCTTTCTCTTTCCCCCAAGATACCAATCACAGGGAATGTGGCTGGGGGGTGGGCTGTCTCAGGGGAAAAGGGGCTGGCCACTGGCCTCCTGCCCCATCCTTTGTCTGGCCATGGAGCTATTGCCCACCCATCCCACCCTAGAGAATGAGCCTTCAGAAGATAGCTGAGTGATGAGTGTATAGTGGTTTGGAGGACAATGCAATTTGAATGTTGTTCTTAGTTGGAATTGTTAGCCACATTATATCGTCTGTTGTTTTATATGCTCTTTGGTGGTAACGGCACGGGGCTGAATCAGTTTACGGAAGCCGGCCTGCGTGGGGACTCCCGTAAGGGGTATGGCGTGAGGGCTTAGGGGAGCAAGCCTGCTCCGGGACTACCAGCATTTTCCCTCACAAGCAGATGGCAGGGGAGACCATGGAGGAGCAGTCGTCCGTGTGGACTCTGGCAACCTGCCATCCCACAGTTCTCCACCCAAGCAAGTGGGCTGGGTGTGATGGGGTACAGTGACTGGCGTGGGCCAGCTGATGCTTTCGATCCAGTGGACCCATGCTGTGCCAATACTTCTTACAGCTGTAACCAATTAAGTTGTGACCATTTTATTCTACAAATGATCCAGATCTGGTGTGTGTTGGGTTCTGTTATACTGGGGTAGGAATACATAACTGCAGGACATCTCCCTCCCCACCTAAAACCTTGAGCCGCAATCCCATTTACTACTCTGATTTCATGTATATTCTTATTTGTAGGTGAAGTTAAGTGTTTTCTGTGAACAAGACAGGATCCTGCAAGACTTAGAAGACAAAATAAGAGCTCTTAAGGAAAACAAAGTAAATATGCTTTTAGTGGCCCTTGTTTTTAAACAGAATCTGTATAATTGCGGCATTACTTGTTTTTGATGTTAAGTGCTGATGTTGTAATCATGGTGGGGGAGTTGTAAAACACACTAACGAAGAATGTATGGAAATAGGCTAATTACTAAAATAGACATTTGGCAATGACATAACAACAAGGGAGGGGTTCTGTGAGGAACTTGTAAGGGAAGGTAAATCCTATCCCTCTGCTGGCCTCCTTTTTCTTCTCCCCAACCCTCCTGTTGCCACATTGCTTTCTTCTTCCCTCTCTCCTGGCAACACAGATGCATTTTTTGCTGCCTCTCTCTCCTTCCGCCACCCTTCCGGCACCACCTCTTTGTGGCATGTTTCCACAACGTTTATAGGAGTTGCTATACAACTGCTTTTTTAAAATTAGAGTTTTTTAAACTCTTTTTTGTCTGCTTCTTATTTGTGGATTTTTCTGTTTTGTAACTAATTTTAGAAGCTGTCTGCTTTATACCATGACTGAACATCTTTGTCAAAAGCCTCTTGGAAAGCCAAAGTTAAAATATCTACCTTGGCTGCGGGCACACGGAGCATTAGCCACGCTACAAAGACGGAAGATAGGCGGATTTTCCGTGTGCGATCACACCGCCACATCTGGGAAGCGTAGAGCTCCCGTGGCAAACCCGAGGCTTCCCACCGAAGATGCGGGGTAAAAAACTAGTACCTCTGAGGTACTAGTTTCCGGAAACCGCGGGGCAAGGGTGGGCGCCTGATTGCGTTTCTGGTGGTAGGTTGTGACATCCGGCGCCCGCCCATGTCCCGTCGCTAAAAGGTTTTTTCCCCCCAAGTCTCCACGGGATGCGCACAAGCACCCAACGGCGCATGCGCACACTTCGTTTAAAAACAGGGACATGGCGGGATGGCGGCCCGGCTGAAGCTCCTCCTGGAGGGGACCGGACGGAGGACACAGTTTGCATTCCTCTGCAGCCCTGGAAGGGGTTAAACCCGCAGAGCCTTTTGCTAGAGAGGCCGCTTCTTTGCTGCGCCGCAGGATTGTCCTGTGATCAGCACCTCCCCCCTAACCATGGGACCTCGGCGGAACCTCGACTGGATGTCTGATCACGCAGCCGCGCGTTATTTTGCTCCGGGGCAAACAGCCACGCCTCCCCACCCCCCCGCATTTTCCTGCCTGTGTGACCGGGGCCCTTTACATGTGTATTAGCCCTCTCAAAGAATCCCAAAACATTGGTAGAGCAGGACTGCTATTTGCAGAATCCATGCTGATTTTCCCCATCAGGCTTTGGTTACCTCTGTCTTCTTAATAATTCTGTCTTTAATAACAGTTTCTTCTAACCAGAACAGACACTAGGCTACTAGGCCTGTAATCCCTACTTTGGCATGGAGGCCAGTTTTATCAACAAGTTACCTATGTTGGTCAGAAGATCAACAGTTTAACATCTGAGTTTTTAAGAACCCTAGAGAATTTGTATATTACTCCTAGAACTTCATCTCTCATCGCCTCCATTTGACTCAGTTCTTCAGGCATCTTCCTCCAAAACAGTGACTCTGACATGGGTACAAGCCTCACATTTTCCATGGTAAAAAGAGACACAAAGGCCATCTCCCTGTCTTCCTTAGGCCCTGTCCACACGAGGGGTTTTGGGCCGGGAGTGGGCCGGATTGGGGCCGGAGCAAATGGGTGCGATCCCACTGCACCATCTGGCCAGCGTTGCGCACCCATCTCCGATCTGGCCCTTCCCCCGATGAAACGCATCAAAAATGAACCACCTACCGAGGTGGTTCATCCACAACGGCCGCATCAACGCCGGCCGTGGGATCGCCGGCCCGTCTTTCTGCCGGCGCATCCCTGGCTCCTGCCTGAACTGCGCATGCTCAGACATGCGCAGTTCGGCAGTCTCCCGTTCCCCTCCATCGCTTCCCCCGGCATCTGATCGTGCCGGGGAGGGAATGCGCCGTGGCTCAGGGGATCAATGTGATCCCACTGCAGCGTGGGTTTTTTGGTGCGGCTTTCAGAAGGCGCGCTTCAGCCCGTCCCTTTCCGCCCCGTGTGGCAGGGGCCTTAAACAACCTTTTATTCATTTGTCATCATGGGCCAAGCACCTCCCTACTCTGATATGACTGACTATTGCTGGTCTTAATGTTTTTAGCAATCTGCTCCTCAGTTTCTCTTTTTGTTTACTCTATTGTCGATTTACATTTGTTTTGCCAGAACCCGTGCTCCTTTTTTGTTCAGACAAGGCTTCTACTTTTTTAAAGGAAGCTGCCTTACTTTTTATGGCTTTCTTGCAAGCCTAAGCCTTGCTGAGTAAACTTACAGCAGTGGTTTGGAATATCAGCAACCCACGGGAATTACATTTCTCATTGCTTCTGGCATCTACTGGTAGCAATTGATTAAAATCTAGCTACAAGAACCTGAAATGGCTGTTTTAGGTTAATCTCTGTTATCAGAAGGCAAATGAAACATTCATCTTCCAGATCGATAGATTTCAAGCAAGTAGCCTGTGGGATGAAGTGTCATTTCACCCGATCAGTTTCATCCGGTTCTTTTCCCCTGCTACAGCTCTCTTGGCCCTATGTTGTCATGTGGGTCCCATGACTTCCAATATCATGTTTTCAGCAGTCAGGGTACTGTTTGGGGAATGGGAATGGTGGGTAAGATCTGCATCCACAAGTGTCTTCTCCCTAGGATCTAACCAATTGAATGGAGTTATTTTAAGAGTCTAAACTGTATTTAAAGCACCATATGTATACAAAGTAGGGATCTACTGCTTTAAATTTTTTTAAATCACTTTTTTAGGATCAGTTAGAATCCGTCTTAGAAGTGTTGCACAGGCAGATGGAACAGTACAAAGAACAACCACAACATACAGAGAAAATTTCATACCAGCAAAGACTTTTGCAGGAGGATCTTATACATATAAGGGCTGAAATATCCAAAGTATCTACAGTAAGTATTTGAAGTATCTAAACAAGGACCAGGCAAATAACTCCTGGAAAACTGGATTAGTGACAGTTGCTTGAGTGCTGCTTGTTTGTCAGGTCCATAAGAATGTCCAATATACGGACAATATTGATTTAGATCACCTCATGGGTTGGATCCTATGGAACTCTTCTACTAATGGTGGTGTTTTCCTCCACTGCCAAAAACCTTCTATGGGCACAAGACTTGTTGCCCTGAAGAAAACTTCACCATTTGTAGAAAAGTTCCATAGGAACCAACTTAATGATTTTATTTATTTCAATACATTTTTTTCCAGTTAGAATGTGTTTATGTCCAAGCAGGTAGATTTTCATCCGTATTCTGTTCTCTAAGGGCCAAGCTACACCTTACAGTAGACACAGGTCCAACTTATGGCCAAAACAGCTATTGAGGGGCCCGTTTCATCCCTTGAAAAGGTACAAAGGGGAGAAACAAGATGACTTATTGCTGCTGTGCTGCAGGCCTGATGTGATTGGGTCCTCACAACAATTTTTAAACTGCTAAATTTTCCTGTAAAATGGCACTGGTGGAAATGGGTTGGACCCATGTCTGCCGTAATGTGTAGTTTGGCTCTAACTTTCCTTATCACAGAATGGCTCTATGCATATATATTCAGTATGTGTAATTCCTAAGTAAGCATGCATAGGATTCTAATATAATGCACCTTAGTTTGTAGCTTGCACATGCATAAAGCTTAAATATTTAAGCAGGCCTACAGTCTTTTGTATATTTTACTAATTATGATAGGATAAAATTGAGAGTTTTGTTTTTGCCAATAGGAAATGGAAAATGCCTGGAATGAATATCTGAAACTCGAAAAAGATGTCAACCAGCTGAAGCAAGCCTTACAGGAACAGATGAATAGATCTTTTTTCCCTCAGGTGAGCGTATTTTTCAGCCTTGAAAGTCTCAACTAATTTTTGTTCAGTTTGCTCACAGATTTCTTCTGTGTTGAAGTGATCTGATTGTTGAAGTGAACACAGGGCTTTCAGTTTGTATTGAGGTCCCAACAACTGGCATTCAGACATATACTGCCTCTGAACATGGTTCTATTCATCATAGCTAGTGGACCCATGCACTTCCCAAACTCTGTCTAATCCCCTTTTGAAGTTTTCTGAACCACCTCTTAATAGCAGTTTTTTCAAGAAATTAATTATGCAGTATGTGATTTTGTACTTCCTTTTGGCTTTTCCTAAGCATACTGCCAAGCAAGTTCACCATGAATGAATTGTAGCAGTGAGGCAGAAAAATATTCCCACTCTTCATTTTCTTCAGATCATTCATTAGTTTTTAAGCCTCTATATTTACATAGCTTATCTACCTGTATAAGCTTGGGGTCCCCAACCTGTTTGAGTCTGTGGACACCTTTGGAATTCCAACACAAAATGGCTACTGTGGGTGGCGGATCTAACCACAAAATGACTGCCACAGAAAATTAGCCTCCTCACACAGAAGAAGTCCAAATGAAGGAGAGAAAATGTAATTTTAAAAAAACACACTGAAAAAGAGGAATGAGAGAATAAAACCAACAGTGTGGTGGCAGCTGCTGCTAAAATAATGTTATTTTAACCTGCACAGCCAATCAAATCTCCATTGGCCAATCAGAAGCCATGCTAGGAAAAAAACCCACCTGCTTTTTGAGAAACTTGGTGGACTTCATGAAAACAAGCCCTCACTTCCAAAGTACCATGATTCTACATGCCTTGGATTCAGGCTCTGAGTGTGAAACTCCCAACGTGTCCCTGATCAAAAGTCATTGTGAGAAACACTAGGACTTTGTAATGCGTGATTTGATCCTGATGCTACCTGTGTATTTTTCAGATGCTCCCTCCCTCTCACTTCTAACAGTTTATTCAGGGGAAAATTACACATTATGAAGTAAAATATCTCACAATGGAATCCTACGTGGAATCAGGGGTCATTTCCTGCAGGAACGGAGCTCCGGCAGTAAAGACCCCAGGGGGCGGGCACATGCAACAAGCCCCGCCCCCTGCTCCCAGCAGCCCCGGGCCACGAGGAGCACAAGGATCTGTGCGCCACCCCCCCCAGCTAGTAATCCAAAACAGTCCAGTGGAGCCTGAGCAGTGGGTGCTGCCTTCTGACACACTTCCGGTGATATCGGGGTGTGGCATATGCAAATAAGTTATGCTGATGAGTTATGCTAATGAGCTCCTGCACCTCTTTTTCTACTAAATGACCCCTGTGTGGAATTATTCCCATCTAAACAATGGCCTTAGACTGGAGTGTCTCTGTTTAGAACTGTGCTGTAAGTGTAGTGTATTCCTTCCTTCCTTCCTGAAAATGCTCAAGTAGAGTACAATAGAAAACAAAGTGAAGGGACGCCCTGTGCTATCACATCACTTCCTTGTGTCAGTTCCCCTGTGGCTCAGTAGTACAGCACCTGCTTTACATGAAAGAGGTCTCAGGTTCAATCCCTGGCATCTCCAATTGAAAGGATCAATGAGTAGGTGACGTGAAAGTCTTCTGTCTGAGATCCTGGAGAATTGCTTTGAGTCGCAGGGGTCAACACTGATGTTGATAGGTCAGTGGTCTGACTTGAGATACAGCAGCTTCATATGCTCAAACCTCCAATGGCTTGTCATCCCCTGCCATGATTTTAAAAGGTGTATTTCCAAAGACAAACTTGGCAGGAAAAAGCTGCTAAGAGGAACAGTTTGGAAAAGGGTTAAGCATCTCTTGCCCCAAACGGTTTAGCTATGTACATTCCTTTCCCCAAAAAGGGCTTTTCAGGAAGAGATTCCTCACATTTCACTTGAAAAGCCACTCTAGAACTGCTTGCGATAATACACATGGGAAAGCAACTGATGGGAATCTGCTCTGGCCTCACTTCATGCACTCTGGCACTCACTTTGGTTCCCAGCCCTTGTGCTTTGGCCATTGTCAAATTGCTACAATGATCTGTTTGGCTGGCATCTAGGTTACACTCTGTCATGAAAGTGTATCCTGATTAGGGATGGGCATGAACTGCAAAAATGTGGTGCAGTTTGTGGTTCGTGGCCGAGCACCACTTCAACAGGGGAAGCCCCTGTCCATTGCCTAGCAATCCAGGAGAGTCTGGGCACTCACCCACCCTCCCCTGTTGCTCGAGGGTGCCACTAATACATGGACCTTCCAGTGGCCGGTGAAGGAGGAGAGGCTGGTGGCAGAGAAGTTTTGTCCAGCAGAGGTGGTCGACAGCAAGGTGGAGGAGACAGCCATAGCGAGCCGCACAGCGGGAGCAGGGCCACGGTGGCAGTACAGCAGCTAGGCCCACTGCAGAAACCCAGGACAGGGGAGGTGGCACCGGCAGGAAAGGAGGCTGCACACGGGGACCATGTGGGTTGGGCATCCTCTGGCAGCAGAAGCAAAGCTGGGCCCAGCAGGAAGCAGGCCAGCTACAGGGGATGCCCAACCCTTATGGTCCACTGGGCTGGCCTCCTTCCCTGCCAATGCCAATTCCGTACTGCCAGCCACTGTACTGCCACTGTGACTGCATACCTGCTGCCACTGCACGGCTTGCCACAGCCATCTCCTCTACCTTGCTGCTTGCCACTTCCCTTGCCCTGGGCTCGGCCCAGCCACTGTACTGCCACTGTGACTGCATCCCTGCTGCCACTGCACGGCTTGCCACAGCCATCTCCTCTACCTTGCTGCTGACCACCTCAGCTGGACACCCCTCCTCTGCCTGGGCGCTCCTGGATCACCGGGCGATGGGCAGGGGCTTCTCCTGTTGAAGCGGGGCCCAGCCCCAACCCCAGACAGGCTGCTCCCCATTTCCCAGCTTTCTTGTGCAGTCCCTTTAAAGTTTAAAGGGATAGCACAAGAAAGGCCAAAACAGCTGAGTGGCTGGGAGCAGTCCCAATCTGCTCAGCTGTTTTTGCAGCTTTCTGCTCTGGCCACGAACCAGCATGAACCCCACAAACTGCCTTCGTCATGAATTTTGCTTCGTGGTTCAGTTTTTGTCCATCCCTAATCCTGATTCCTGACAAGTATTTATAACTTAAAATAATTTATTTATAATTTATATTTTCATTTGGGGTTATATAAAATCACATAATGTATCAAGTCTGGGAAAGATCCTCTGTATTGGGCCTTGAAGTGCACTGCCAGTCCAGATAAATTGTATGGTCCAACTGACTGATTCCATCTAAGGCTGCCTGTGTTCGTTTATGCTTTCTACATATAGTTACAATATTCTTCTAATCTCCTAATCTCTGTGTTCACGGGGTTTTTTGTTGTTGCTAGATCTAGATGTGTTTATAGATTAATAACCACAGCAGGATATTGTTTTAAAATTCTATTTCACACTTTGTTACTTTCCCCCCATCCATCCCCAGTACTCCAAATTTCCCATTTACTGAAATAAATTAATAAATAATGGCCACAGGCTAAAATTTCTGTTTCACCTTTATATTGTGTTGTCTCAATTAGACCTTTAAAATGCACTACAAGTAAAACCATTATTAGGGTGTTAAAATCTTAAAATAAGATTTAGTTGTAATTTATTATATGAACATACTTTCCCTTGATATTGATCCTTGACATTTTGCTTGGTTACCTTAAAAAGCTTTCATAGAAACTGGTGATTGATATTTAAATTTTTTTTAATGTGTGTGTCATCTGTTATACAAAAATTAAACAGCACATTAGAGATTATAACAATAGTTATAGTTTAAAACCTATTGAGCAGAGTTTTGTTTCTTTAGTCCTCTATTTGCCTTATGTATTTACTTTTGTAATAGTTAAATCTGTTTTCTGCTAAAGGCTTGGTTTTCATATTATCTAAAATATTAAATTCTTCAAAACTATATCTATACAGGGTTAGGGTTCTTATTCTCCAGGTGGGGGTGGGAGAATCCTCTGCTTTTGCAGGCTCCTGTCTGCCGCTGGCCAGCGGGAGCATATCCCCCTCAACACCGTGTGCGACGCACTGATGTCACCAGGAAGTTATGTCAGCACATCTGTGACAATTGGGGGGGGCGCAATGCTCTGCTTTTTGGGCAAAACTCTATGGTTTGAGGCCATTTTTACCATAGAGTTTGCCCAAAAAGCAGTATCACCCCCAATGCCGTCAATACGCTGATGTCCCTTCTGGGTAACATCAGCCTAACATCCCTGCCCATTCCGGGAATGCCCCCCAAATCCCCCTCGATGATGGGGTTTTGGCAACCCTAAACAGGGTTCTAAATAATGAAAACTCAATGCCTGCCAGAGTAGAAATTTGCTACCCTGCTAACAATACTAAACCTTACCATATCTTTTTATTATTGTGGCCCGGATCCAAAAGTGCTGTATGCATACTGGGGCTCTCCTCATTCACTTGAGTGTTTAGGAGATCCCCCCAGGAATTTTCCTGGATGTGAGAAGGAAGTCTGCAATGAAAGGTAGGAGTCAGCAAAAAACTCCCCCTCTTCAGTAGCTTGTGACTCTGGAAATAAACCGTAGAATCCAACCCATTGTAACTGGCAATAGGGAGCTATTTTAGAGACAATTTCACATTTTTCTTCTCGTTTTCAATCATGTTTTTTGAGTAACAGGCCTAAAAATAATCTAGCTTTTCTTCATGGTCACGTTGCAGCATACTGATGGTAATTAAGCATCAGCAGATTCCAATCGAAGAAACTTCTAGAGCTAAGCTTAAGAAGATTCTTAGTGCTGGCTCCACCCACTTGGGAGCATTTGCTGTGTTTCCTGCTCAGTTGTTCTTTAACCACTGAAGCAGGGACATCATTAGGAACTTCTCTCCACACCTTCTAGTGAGCTCAGCTGTTTTCCCCTAACATCCCTGCCTGCATCAGCTCAGAACCAAATCTTCTTGAATCAGCAGTGGTCTCCCTCAGCAACCACCTGCACAGGACCAGATGCTGTCTCAGCTCTAGCTCGAAGCCAGTGTCTCTCACTTTTTGGATTTGGAGTGGTGTGACAGAACCATGGATTCTTCTCCAATACCAGTCATCTCAGACCCAAAGTCAGCTTCCCTTTCTGAGGATCTAAAAGATAGATTCAGGTGTGTAGCCGTGTTGGTCTGAAGCAGCAGAACAAAGTTGGAGTCTAGTGGCGCCTTTAAGATCAGCAAAGTTTTATTCAAGGTAATAAGCTTTTGTGTGCAAGCACACTTCTTCAGATACAGAAGTGTGCTTGCACATGAAAGCTTATACCTTGAATAATTTTTTTGTTGGTTTTAAAGGTGCCACTGGTGTGGTGGTTTGTTTGGTGTAGTGGTTAAGTGTGCGGACTCTAATCTGGGAGAACCGGGTTTGATTCCCCACTCCTCCACTGGCACCTTGGGTCAGTCACAAGCTCTGGCACAGCGGTTCCTGAAAGAGCAGTTTCTGTCAGAGCTCTCTCAGCCCCACCCACCTCACAGGGTGTCCTGTTGTGGGGAGGGGAAGGGAAAGGAGTTTGTAAGCCGCTCTGAGACTCCAAGTGAAGGGCGGGGTATAAATCCATTCTCTTCTTCTTCTTCTTCTAACTTTGTTCTAAGGATCTAAAAGTCTACTTGGAGCAGCTCTTTTGTATGGAAAATGCCTTGGGCCTCAAGATCCAAAAACTGGCCCCACCAGTAGAAGCCCAGTTTTTCACTTGCTGGTTGCTGAATCCTACACACCTGTAGCATTGCATGTGTTGTCAGCCCTTAAAGATGCTTGCCTTAGACCCTCCCTGGTGCCCCATACTGTGAAGTACCTTCAGGGCATGTAGGACAATCAACAAACCTCTAGTTTCCTTTTCATGCTCCAAATCAATTGTTTTGAGGTAGCCCTATCCAAGAATAAGCAGAAGGCCCCTTCCTCTCCATAGGTCAAAGTTTCTGTAGCTTTGAGCTTCAAGATAGTGACCTGTGTCCCTTGTGTGCCATGCTACTAACACCACCTCTGGGAATGGGATGACACCAGTACTTTGACATCTCCACAAGACAAACATCCCTTGGTCAGTGTTCTTAAAAAGGAGGCTGTTGTAAGGCTACCCAGATAGCAGCTCAGCATTCCATCTTGTTGAGCCAAGTCACAGGCAAGTACTGTCACTTTACACTGCCATGCTTTGCAGCTTTCCTTGTCACTGACAGCAGAAGCCAAAACCTGCATACAGGATCTCCCATTTGAAGGAGACCTTTCCAGTTCCAAAATGGATGATGACCATAAGAGAGTTCAGAAGGTCAGGTCCACTGCACATTCTATGGGCCTTTCATCAGGGCCCCAACCTCAGCAGCAGCCATCTTGGTATCACCCATAGCAGGGTTACACCTTCACCCTTTCCTCTGGCTGGCAATCCTCATTGCTCTGCTACTTCCTGCTCCAGGAAGACTTTTTCTGTGTTGCAGTTTGCATTGCACTGCTCCAAAATGGTAACATCTTCTAACATCTTCTAAACACAGCTTTTGACCATTTCCCTCACTTCCCCCAGGTGATCCTGTGCTCTGCAACCATCTTCCATGGAGCATGGGAACCCATTACAGGAAATGCCTGAGTCCTTACTATTATTTGTGTATGGTTACGCCATATAGTTTCAGGCCACATCATCCACCTTGTTTGTTGTCCCTTGCTGTTCCCCCCTTCTAGAAGAAGTCTCCTCTCCACTTTCAAAGAATGCCATCAAACCTGTTGGCCAGCCTCTTAAAACAGGAAAGAATCTATTCCTGTTATTTTGTAGTGTCCAAGAGAGATGGTGATCTACATTTAGTTATGGATCTCAGGGAGGTGAACTGTTACATCTTCACCAAAATATTTTGAATGGTCTCCTTGGTCACCATTTTCCCCATAGTAGACAAAAACATGTGGCTTGAATTGCTAGATCTTTCTATATTGGGAATATTGCTGGTACCTCTGTCCTTCCCACTGTCAATATAAGGTACTAGTCATGAATAGGTCCCCAGCAGCCCTTCTGCAACACCTTCACACCCTCCTTCACCTTCTCTCCCAACTGGGTCTAAAAGTGAATACCATGAATCCCACCTCTGGCCAACTTAGTGAATCAAGTTTATACAGCTGTCATTATTTCAACAATTGTCTCCATCAGCAAGAGCCCTCAGCATTATACCTCTGGTACTTTGCTTCATTCAACAGCCCCTCCAACACACTGTTCAGATACAATGCCTCCTAGGACATGTGGCCTCCACTATGGCTTTGATCCCTTGGGTGAGGCTTCATATGTGCTCTCTCCAACTCTGGTTCAACAAAACTTTCAAGCCAACCTTTCACCGCAAGCCTTGGATATTTCATTTTCCTACCACAGTCTGCAGCTTGCAACAATGGTGGGTGTCATTCAGATGTTGCCCTAACCACAGTTGGTTCATTATGGGAATGGGGCACTCTTTGAGGACACTCCTTCGGTTATCCATGGACAACCCAAGAAGCCACTCTCCGCATGAAGGTCCCGAAGCTGCTAGCAATTCACAGATCCATCAATGTCTTCTGCCCTATCCTATGCAACTAGACTGTCCAAATCCAAACAAACAATACTGCATCTATGTGCAACATCAACAAGCAAGGGAGTACAGGAACAACAACTCTTATGTCACCAACAGCTCTAGAAGTTTCATTCAAATGTATGCATGCTTAATTCCCATTGGCTGCGCAAATGACTGACCACTCAAAGATCATCAGTTACATTACCACCCTATAGATTATTCATTAACTAGAATAGTGTGTCACAAGCAGAGAGCAGGAAATAAGTTATAGCAAAGATTCTTGTGTAATTTTTCTTACATTGTTTATTTCCCATGGATTCATGTTATTTGACTGCATGTATATCAGTTATATTATTTCATATACTCATACATAGACACTACATATGTATATTTATTCGAACATTACTTTCTTGCATTTTGCCTGTATGTTCAAGATGGTGTGTATAAAATCGTAAAATGAATAAACCCTAAAATCCGATAAATACCTCACTAAATCCAATCCGAAAAAACAACAATAATAAAAAGTGTAGTTGAATTTAAAAGATTTTATGTGTCTAAGGACTGCCAGACAAACCTCTTGGGAGGGAATTCCAAGATGGGGTTGCCACCATTTAAAAATCCCTGGCTGCGGTTGGCTGGAATTTTTTCACATGTTTATGAGAATAGGTAAATTGGCAATCAGAATCAGGATTATTGTGCATTGACGTCTTTCTTTGACTTAGACTACTTCATTACAATATTTTTAGCAGCATACCTACATCGTGCAGTAGGGAGGCAGCATCCATTGTCGCTGCCATCCTCGAGGCTAGATCTTGTGAGACAGAAGATCAGTATGTGAAACAATGGTAAATGCTATAAGTGCTCTTATTTTTAGGAATGCTGTGATCAAGAAATCTAAGAAACCAATAACAAAGGGTTTGGGTTTTTTTAAAGGAAAGATATTTTTTGCTCCAGAATAACCAAGGTTAATTATTTATCTTTTCCTCAATCTTTATTGCCTACTAGGAGAAGACACAAATGCAAAAAGACTTATGGAGAATTGAAGATGTGACAGCTGGCCTAAGTGCAAATAAATCCAACTATAAAGTCATCATAGAGTCTATAAAGAATCCAGGTAAGATAAATATAATGCATTCAAAGCTACAGTTGCGGTCACACGCGCCAGAAAAAATGGGAGGGAGCGAGGCTATTTCCTCCGTAGGAATTTGACCCACAATTGCGTGATCACACAGTCCATGGAAGCTGTGGGCACAGCCCGCCACTGTGTGATCAGACGCAACCACAGGAGAGTTGGGGTTTTTTTTGCCATTTGGTTCCGATGCGCTTAAGCTAGGAATTGATGAATTGCATGTCCGCACTGAGGGTTCCCTGTGGAGTTTGCGATGATGCGCATACTGAGAAGGGGGTAAAAAATAACAGCACGGAGTCGGGATGGCCTGATTAGACCATCCCGACACCATGAGAGCGCACTGGAGCGATCAGACAGGTGAAAGTCCATCCGTGGCCCATTGAAATCTGTTTTCTACCATATTTTCCCTGGTGGCTTTTAACTCCGCTTCTGCGGCGAAGCAGAACAGGTTGCAGACGGCTGCGGGACGCTTTCCAGATGTTGTTGTCTGATCGGGCCTTTAAATCCGCCCGGCATTCACGCCTATGGCAGGTCTTATTGTCTGTATGATTGCAGCCTGCATCTGGTATCATAATATGGTTAATATGGTATACTGTTTTGCAGTTATTGTACATGTTATAAGTTATACTTGATCTTAATAAACATTTTAAAAACAAAAAAATAATAATAATATGGCTAAATGTGTAATTTGGCAAACTTGCTTATTTCTTGCAATACTTCCATTTGTCGTTTTAGGCCAAAGATATTCATCATATCACTGAAGAATCTCCTTCAGTTTTAATCTTACGTAGTGAGCATCTTTAGTCCTCTCTGTTGAGAAACGGCACAAAATCATCAATCCAAATTGCCTTATTCTATATCAATCTTAATTTGTCTAGCAGAATTCTATCCTGCCTTCTACTGCTGACACCTTCTTCAGCTTCTCATTAGATTTTCTATACACAACCTGTAGTTGGCATTCGAGTTTAGCAATAAAATAGTGGGAATGCTGTATAACTTCATATATATCTTAAAAAACAGTTCAAGAAATATTTAGGTGCTGTAAATATATCATAGTTTGGGTAACATTCAATATGCAGGGAGATTCTTCAGTGCACCTTTGTGTAATGTGTGTTCCACTTTGCAGAGAGAAAAACAGTGCCTTCATTTTCTAAGCCTTCAGTGCCTTCATTAGCATCTACGCTCACATCAGCAAACAAATTTTCTACTCAGCGAAGTCCACCATCTAGTCCTGTCAATTCCTCTCTGGAAGTTAGACTCTTTCCTCAGCCTTACACACAGCCTAGAATGTTTTCTCCATCCCAAGAGCTGAAAAAAGTTGAGCCTTCAATGTCATCTGTAAAATTGAAGCCAAAGGTTGTAAGTGTCATAATCCACTGTATATTGTAATTATAATATATAACTTTTCTGTAAATACATCTGAACTGGGCTTTTTTGTACACAAATTAATTAATTAAACCTCTGTCTGGCTTCTTCTACATTGGAATTCTAATACTCTTGATACCCTTGACCTAGCCTGTCAAATTGGTAACTGAGAAATTTTTAAGATATGTTCTTGGAGTAGTGTTCAAACAACGCTGAAATTCATGCACATTATTTTCTGGGCTTTAGCTGTTTGTGATTTTACGTATAGTAAAACAGCAATCTGCTCTTTAATGAAAAATGCTACGAGTCATACTTAATGAAACACATGTGCTTCTTAACATTTGATTAGGAAGATGAAGCACCACCACGACCGCCTCTCCCACAGTTGTATAGTCCTGATGACCACCCTCCGGCCATCCCCCCTCTTCCCAGGGAAGCCACTGTAATCAGGCATACATCAGTGCGGGGACTGAAACGTCAGTCAGATGAAAGAAAACGAGACCGAGAACTAGGACAGTATGTGAATGGAGATTATAGAGTAAGCCCTCATATTTAAAATCCAGTTGTCCTTTTCTTTTCAATTGTACATGAGTGTGGTGATTCTATGTTGTTTTCAAAGAGATACTGTAGCTGCATTCAGACATAACACAAAACCACTGCTTCATTAAACTAACCATAATTATTTGATCATCTGAACCCACACCACCACATTAATAATGGTTAGTCAGGGTATCTTAAACCAAGATCTGAATCCAGGATATGAACCTGGTTTATTAAGTGCAGTTAGTGTCCATCCACATTACATTCAAGTACAATATCCTGCCTGGTTAGTTTTCACCCTAATGCTGTGTGCCAGCTCCACCTAGAGTTGTCTAACGAGCAACTCAAAAACAAAATTTATTTATTGATATTTTTAGGCCACCCTTCTCTTCAAGCAGGGCCCAGGGCGGCTTACAACAAAGGTAAATTAAATAAACAAGTTAAAACGAGCAGTTCAATACATAATACATACATCAACAAATAAAACAATCCGTTCCAAGAAGGCAGAAAAATTTCAGCTTCCACAAGCCTCCTAGGGGGGGTTGCGGAGAATGGAGGGTGTGAGAGTGCCAGACGACATGCTTTTATGTTCAGATGTCATTCACTAGTGCTGAGTTTTCCCCAGCCCTTGGCTATGTGGCCACTTCTGCATTGTCATTTTTATCACTCGTTTGTAGGGTTCCCAAGTCCGTTTTTCTTTGCGGTGGGGGGCTCCCGGACGGCTGTTTTACCCTCAGATGGCTGTGGCCCCGCCCCCAGCGTGCCCGGCGTCATTACGTCACATCCGGCTGACGTGCACACCGGGGTGGGGTTCCTCCCGGGGCCCGATTCCATGGCGGTGGAAATCGGGCCTCCAAAGCGGGGGATTATCCGCCCCCCGGGGGGGACTTGGCAGCCCTACTTGTTTGTCGCTATTGCTTTGGGTCCCCCCCCTTCCCACATGTGTTTTGCTCCCTCTGGGACTACTAGAGAGAGCAGAACACATTGAAGGGGGGGAAAGCCCCAAATGAATAGGGACAAACAAGTGACAGAAATGATAATGGGGAGTATGTCTGAGCCTGCCTCTCTCACCACCCCCTTCATAAAGCCATAGCCCCATGCATCTCTGTGCATGCATCTTAAAGCAACTCCAGTGGAGCCCTGGCTATCTCGATTGCCCGTTCCCCTGCCATAAAGCATGTTACACTAACGGCCTGTTCTTATTTACGACCCTGATCATGGACTTCGTGATTTGGATGGAGGAAAAAAACAAACTCCCTACCCCAGTGTTTGCTGCAGCAACCTCCCCAGCACCCACCCACCCCATTCAGTCTGTTAGTCCTCACAAATTTTACTGCATCATACTTGCTTTCTTTGTTCAGTTCACATGTTTGTATGTTGCGTGAACAGAAATGGCTGTGGGGTGAGTTGGCTCTTTCGAGGCGTTTGTTGGGGGGTTTGACTCTGGTACATGGCTGGTATAGTGTTCACAGGGAGTCAAAAACTTGCCAGGGCGTATGAGTGAATGCTGATGGGGGGTAGGTTATTTATAGTCCCCCTTTCTCATGGGGGTTCAAGGCAGATTACACAGAGTAAGTCAGCACAATCAACAAAATTGGGAAATTCAATAAATAATGCACTAGGATTGCAGAAGTACAGAATTAACCAGAAATCTAAAAGACTGAAGCAGAGCATGAGTATTAATATGACACCGTAAGTGATGCAAAAGTTACGTAATAAGATCCTACTTACAGTAAACTATATACAAAGCAGGTTACAGAGTACAGAAGGCGGGGAGATCTAATCGTACAGTATAGGCGTATAAAGACTTGGGTGTCTTGAGTGTTGTGTGTGGGGGTGTGTGGTTGCATTTCAGTGTGGGTGGTGCACTGAAATTGACAGCAAGAAGCTGTTTTATTAGTGGCTTCCTTTGCTAGCCCCTGAATGGCGGTGGAGTGGTGGGTGGTATGGCAGTTGTTGCTTATTGTGAGCGTGGCTTATGATTCACTGCCCTTGTGTGTTGGTGACCACTAGTATTTGAACTGAGGCTTTACTGTTGGGTTGGCCACTGCAAGACAGGCTCGGATAGCAGCTGGGTCCCCGATGAGTGAAAGAATGGCAACACTGAAGCCAGGATCCAGTGATTCTGTGTGTAATTCTGGTTTTGCTAACTAACCACAGCTCAAATAAGCCGTGGCCTCCCTTTAGATCTGAACTGAGCCTTTTTCCTGTCTCTTTTTTCAATCTCATTTAATCAAGTATTCATCCACGTAGGTAGAACTCCGCTCATACGTCAGTGAACCTGAACTGGCAACAATAAACAGTGATCTGAGCCAACCTTCCATTGGTTTGATAGGTACTGACAGCAGATACCAAACATTACCTATAAGAGGTAAGCAAAAGTGATTGTTTATTTAGATTTGGTGTGCATGCTTCAAGGCTTCGGGACTTTTCTGGTAGCACGTGTGACAGGCCATTTCTGTCACCGGGCAGTGACGTCTACACCGGGCAGTGACGGCGTGTGCAATTAAATGAATATATGTTGTCTTCCCTTTCCCCTACAAACGTTAGTCCCTTATCTATATTGAGTAACTGTACATCGCTTTGAGCCCACTGGGGAAAGCAATTAATAAATAGAAAGTGTTATTATTTATTATTATTATTAACCAAAGGGACTTACACAGCCTCCTATGATTTTGGGAGACCCAGGTTTATTTTAAACTATAAGCTTTGCCCCTCAGTTACCTAGTGTCGTAAAGGTAGCAAGTGGGTCCGCTACTGTGAGGTAAGTTTTGTGGCGCACAAAAGTAGAATATGGAGGCCACTGAGGCAGGAATTGTACATTAGCAACACAGAATAGTCATTTTTTTACAAGTAGGTTTCAAGGAGCGGATCAGCGACACAGGCTTCCAGATAGACAAAAGAGAAACCTGGCCTGAGGCACGCAGAGAGGGGTTTCAGTTTTCTTTGATAATTTCCAGCATGAACACACACCCACACCAGCCTGCCCTTTCCCAGGAGTCAAACTAAATGGCACAAGGGCCCCGGTCACACGGGAGATTTTGGGCCGGGAGAGGGACGGATCGGGGGCACAGCAAACGGGCGCAATCTCACCGCGACATCTGGGAAGCAGTGCGCACCCGTCCCCGATCTGTCCCTACACCTGGAAAACCCGCTGTAAAAAAGCACCTCCTACAGAGGAGTGGAGCACCACAGCAAGCATGGCCGTGGGATTGCCGGTGCGCTCGTCCTCCACAGCAATCCAGCCTCCCGGCCAAACTGCGCACGTGCACACATGCGCAGTTTGGCTGCCTCCCTCCCTCTTCAGTGGCTTCCCCCCGGCATCTGATCATGCCGGGGAGGAAGTGCGCGGCGGCTCGGCTTTAAAAAGCTGCACTTTGCCCGTGTTTTTCCCCCCCGTGTGGCAGGGGCCAAGGTCTACTTATTGCCAGAGACAGGATAACAATTGGGTCCTGTGTTCTCTGTCAGAAGTAGAGCCAAATCACCCTGCCACACTACCAAGCAGAGGTAGCCCTCACTGTCTGTTCTTTTCCTGAGCCAGACCTGAGCTCTCAACTGCTCTCTCCCTGAGGCAGAAGTGAACTGAACTCCTGCTGCATTTTCCCTCCAACATTCCATCCCCCCGTTCTCAAAGGTGATTGGATGCTGGAAGGCTCAAGTGAGTGGTGTTTTCTTCTTCTGGGACAGGACAGCCTTCTGCAGATCACAGCACACAGTCCTTTTATTGTGTCGCTTTATTTGCCTCCAGATAGTATTACAGTTTCATAATTACAGGGCAAGAAGGGGCCTTACCCAGTCCCATCTTTAATGAACTTTGATTGCATGTGCATGCACTCCCTTTCCAATAGAAGAATCCACAGCTGGAGGGAAGGGAGAAAAGCCCCACAGCACACCTAGGTTGCTAAGGATTGTAGCCTGCAAAAATAAAAATCTGTCTTATCCCCAGATTCTGAATGTTAAACAAAACCCAACCACCAAGCATTCCTAAGACAAATTGTATTTGCTCTCCAGAATACATTCACCACATGTTAAAACCTCCCAGAGAAAGGGACCCTGTTTTGAAACAAGAGACCCTTTTCCAACTACTACTCATAAGTTACTTTTCTGCCTTTTTTATTTATTAGCAAGCATTAACATTTAACAAAAATGTATTTATAACTAGCCAATAAAAATTAAATAGCTCATAAATATGGAAGCATACTTCAGTATTCGTTGTTTAAGAGAAAACACAAAATTATCTCTATACTAATAGCCAAGATTCCCCTCTGTGTGCATATACTTATTTCCGCAAATGGGGGCTCACTCTCCCCCAACAGGTTTTTCTATGGACTCAGGGGACTTCTTGGGTCTGCAGAAAAATCCAAGAAGTAAAGTTAGAGCTTCAGATTAGGGTCTGCGAGACCCAGGTTCAGATCCCTGTCTTGCAGTGGAAGCTGACTGGTGATTTCGGACCAGTCACATACTTTCAGCCTACCCAACCCCATGGGTTTGTTGTGCAGATAAAAAGAAGAGAACAATTTAAGCTGCTTTGGTCCCCACTGTGGAGAAAGACTGTAATTTTTTTAGGTAGAGGCTGTGGTGGAGGAGGGTGGAGATGGAAAGAGAGAGAGACACACAAAGGTAGGTTGGCTGTTAGGTGGGAGCAAAATAGGGAGGAACTTCAGACCAGTTATGTCATGGACTTCACCCTCCAAACCAGCCATTTCCTCCACGAAGTAACATATGTGGAGGAGAGATAGAGAGTAAGAAAGGGGGGGCAGAAGGGAGAAAGAATGTGAGAGAGGTAGGGGGAAAGGGGAGCAGGGGTCTCCAGGCCACACTTTGCAGTTGGCAACCCTAGGCTTGGCAACCACTTGATGCCATCTCCCTTTCATAACTCAAGTAGGCCCAGCTGCTTGCTACTGTTTATCAGTAGCCACCCTGTGAAAGCCAGTGTGATGTAGCAGTTAGAGCTTCAGATTAGGGTCTGCGAGACCCAGGTTCAGATCCCTGTCTTGCAGTGGAAGCTGACTGGTGATTTCGGACCAGTCACATACTTTCAGCCTACCCAACCCCATGGGTTTGTTGTGCAGATAAAAAGAAGAGAACAATTTAAGCTGCTTTGGTCCCCACTGTGGAGAAAGACTGTAATTTTTTTAGGTAGAGGCTGTGGTGGAGGAGGGGGGAGATGGAAAGAGAGACACACACACAAAGGTAGGTTGGCTGTTAGGTGGGAGCAAAATAGGGAGGAACTTCAGACCAGTTATGCCATGTACTTCACCCTCCAAACCAGCCATTTCCTCCACGAAGTAACATATGTGGAGGAGAGATAGAGAGTAAGAAAGGGGGGGCAGAAGGGAGAAAGAATGTGAGAGAGGTAGGGGGAAAGGGGAGGAAGCAAAGGTGTGAGGAATGGGATAACCATCCTGCAAGTTTCTTGTGGGTCTAATGCTCCCTCTAAGCTGTGGAGTCTCCTGAGCAAAAATTCTACTTTGTGAGCTACTGGCATTAAAGTTGTGAGGGAGCAGTTTGGCTACTGCATAAATTAGTTTGCTCTGGAGCCCTCCTTCCTGAGCTAAGACAAAAATGTGTGAGCCAGAAGCTAAAAAACTGTGAGCTAGCTCACACTAACTCAGCTTAGAGGGAACACTAGTCTCCACTTGTTCATACTAATGACACGACGCAATAATCTTAACAAATTTCATCTCAGTAACATTCTCCAATCTATATCTAATTGTGTTATAACTTTGACCTCTTGCAGAGTTCTATGTCTGACTAATAGATACAATTTCTTAACCTTTTCCAATCATTAACTTTCTTTTGACTTGTATTCTTTTTCTTGCATCAAAGATTAACTGAGCTACGCATTATTATTGTGTTAAGAGTTTTACCTGGTTCTTCCTTGCAGCATAATCTTGGAAGGGGGAAAATCAGGAGTCCGTGATAAATTGATAGTGAAGCTACCAGAAATTCTCTTTGCTATTACTCTCCCCAAATTGTTGTGCCCTTAGGGAATACCACCTCATACGTAAAAAGGGGTATTTATCCTGGTTATACCACAAGCAATTGCTAGAATTTCTGTTATAGATCCTTGCAAATCTAAGGGAGTAAAAAGACACAAGGAAACTGTAAACAAGCGCTACTCCTATGTAACAAAACTATTCAAAAACAATGCATTCTAATCACAAACAATGTATACAATTATAATAACTATCAAGTGCACAACAAGAGGTCCTTGAAGGCAATCGTTGACGAAGCTCTCCAGATTGTGGGTTCATTTCGTTAACACTTCATCCGAACGGGACCATAATAACGTGCTGTCTTCTATTTCTTGAACATAATAGTACTATTTCATACTAGGACATATTCCATTCAGAGCGTTTTTCCCCTTTGGTTTGCCCGCTCTGAATGGAATATGTACTAGTATGAATAATAGGAAATTGCTGTAAGGAGGAACTGATGTACAGAAAACCATGACTAATGTTTAAACATTCGACAACGTTCAAGAAATAGAAGATAGCACGTTATTATGGTCCCGTTCGGATGAAGTGTTAACGAAACGAACCCACAATCCGGAGAGCTTCGTCAACTATTGTCTCCAAGGACCTCTTGTTGTACACTTGATAGTTATTATAATTGTATACATTGTTTGTGATTAGGATACATTATTTTTAATAGTTTTGTTACATAGGAGTAGCGCTTGTTTACAGTTTCCTTGCAAATCTAAGCAGCAAAAAAGGCCACTGAATAGCCACGTTCCTAGCATTCTGTGAATGATACGCTCACTGTAATTGCAAATCCTTATAAGATATGCTTTTAATCACAGTGATCATTGTACTAGTTCTTCAGTGCTCTCATTCTAGTATGAGTTGCTGGTTTGAGTTTTAACACATAGATATTCCATATTCACACATCAGAATCAGAATTCACACAGTTAAATCTTTTAAAACACACTTAGTCCTTCTGTGTGAAAAGGAGGTATCTCAAACTAGTATGAAAGTCAAGAAGAAAAATAATTTCAGATTGGAACAGGAGCAAAGAAAAACAAGGATAATCACTAAAGACCGAAATCCTTCAGATGGCCCAGCAAACTATGTTCAGATCACAGTGACTTTTTGGCAGCTGAGGCATATGACTGTTGCTTGTGATTAAAATTCCTTTAGTCCTGTTACTGTGCTGCCTAGTGAAACACTGATCACAAATGCTAGAGTACAACTTCCCTTCCTGATTACAATTTTTCTTGAAAGGCTTTTTCCCCCTCTTTGTAAAGGATTATCTGGCTCAACTTCCAGACTGCATCAGTCAACAACTTCATCTTATGCAACGTTTCGAAGAGATGGTTCCAAGGTATATTTGCAAACTTGTTTCCAATCTTCTTGAACACCAATGATGAGAAGTGAGGTATTTTGCTTTAGTCTGCATTGGAGTTTAACATATCCTGGTAGTTAACCCCATCTGTACCATAAGTACAGTCACAAGCTTAGTCTCAAACTGGATGCTATGTTTACTTCTGTTATCATTTTTAAAAACTCTTTTTTTTCCTTTTCAAAATATAGGCACTGGAGCGGTGTTTCCAAGAGAACAGGAGATGCTAATCATTTCCTCGCCTCCTGTTTTCCCACTGGATCAAGAGAACAGTGCAGGAGGAGATGCTAACCATTTCCTCGCCTCCTGTTTTCCCACTGGAACACCAACGCTTGAATTACTTCCCAGAGGCAGGGGGAGCTTAGAAGTTCCTGTACCCCACCCCCCCGGGCCAGATGACTAAGGGTTTAAGAAATGTCTTCTCCAAAACCATTTTCCCTCTCAAAACATCCCCAGTGGTTCAGTTTGAAAAAGAAGAGAAGACTTTTAAAATGATCACAGAAGAAATTAATACTGGGTTGTAACTTAAATCAGGCTTTTGAATGTAAGTCTTTCGGTTAGGGCAACTACACTTATCAGTATTATTAGTTCTGGTGCTCCAGAGACCTGCTGGGATTTCTCCTTGAAAACGAGGTGCTTGTTAAACATTCAGAGCATGTTTGTCGTAGAGTAGGAGGCCACAGTCCATTCCTGCAGATGATATTCTCCCTCCACTGGAAAGTAACTCCAGTGTTGATGTTCTTTCAGTAGTATGGAAAACTACACAGCAACATAGAACTACTTGCACTGAGAAAAGAGATTGAAAGACAGCCAGCAGCTCTGATGGAATAGTAACTTTGGACCATAGTTCGCAGTTCTCATGTCCGTCTTTATCCCCACCATTCTTCCAGGGAGTTCCATATGGCATGCACTGGCATGCATCCCTCCATCTTTAAATCTGTTAATTATAATATATGCTTTATCTGTTATTTTTAACAGGAGAGACCAAAGAGTGCCTTGGAACGGTTATACTCTGGAGACCACCAAAGAGGCAAAATGAGTGCTGAGGAACAACTAGAAAGAATGAAGCGACACCAAAAGGCATTAGTTCGTGAACGCAAGAGAACTCTTAGTCAAGGAGAAAGACAATCTGTCTCATCACGACCATTCATCCGGCCTGTTTCTGCAGATATAGGCTCAGTATGTTAGATATGCCTTAAAAGGACTAGACTAAAAATATGACCTGTAGCTTCTCTAGTAAGCACTTTTATTTGAGAGTGCATGATACTTGTATTATATAATACTTATAGTATAGTTCTGCAGTCTGAGTAACAGAAAATAGCTTTCTACTAAAAATAGTTACAGCTTAATGTAGCAGGTGTGGAAATAAGTTGGCAGAAAGAAAGTGAAGCAAAAAGAGAAAAGAATTGGAATGCATTCAGAGATGGATCTTGGGTTGGTCCTGGCTTTTTTCCAATTGATTCAAATGATGCCATGAAAATAGTAAGTTTGTACATTTTCCTGATTGCACCATGAAAGAATGAGCCCCTTAGAATATTAAGTAGTGCATTTTTTTTAAAAAAAATCTATATTGCAAGTTTAATGGTTCTATCAAATAAGGATTTTTTTAAAAAAGATAGAACTTGACAAATTTTATGTAATAACTGTTAAGTTCATAGATGTTTGTACAGCTGCTAGTGCCCCTTTACTATAAATTATGTTTAAAATGCGTAGAATACTCTAGCAACGCTCTACATTGTTAGTGAGAAATAAGTTATTTCAGTGGCTAAATACTGTATTAATTTAAACACAACCCTGTGTTGATTGGTTTTGAGCAACTACCCAAAACAAATCACCCTCCGAGTCATCCACTGGCACTCAGAAGTATATCCCCTTAAAAATGAGTAGGACGTTCTTCCAAGTGGTAGCCGTGATCCAACGAAGTGATACACACATAGACAGCACTTCACTTGTCAGTTCTGACACCGCAGTGTTTGTTGCCAAAAACAGTTTTGCTTTTAAATGAAGAGCATTTTAACCTTTTTATCAGAGGTCAGTTTGAGTTTGAGTAAATATCATGCTGCTCATGCTGTATCTCTTCTTTGGACCACAGCCAGTTTGTCTAGGTTCAGGTACTTAGGCTGCTGTTAGGGTTGCCAGGTCCTTACCTGTCGCTGGCAGGGGGAGCAAGGGAGTCTTCTGGGAGGGGGGAGGGGCTCTGCCCCCAAACAGTGACCTTGAACGGGGACCTTGCACGGTGACACTCTGGTTTAAGAGCAAAACTCTATGGTTTTACCATAGAGTTTTGCCCTGAAACCAGAGTGTCATGTGCTGATGTCCCCGACGTGATGATATCACTTCTGTGTGATGTCATCGCATTGGCGATGTTGCACAGGGACACTGCTGTTTGGGGGTGGGTTTCCCCTGCCAGCCAGCTGGCCGGCAGCAGGGAGAAGCCCCCCAAAAGCGGGTGGTCCCCCACTTGAACCTGAGGGCTGCCAACCCTAGCTGCTATCCTAAGAATGGTTACATTGAAATAATCTCAGTTAATTTCAGCAAACTTCTGTTAACGGACTTCAATCCAGTACACAGTTAAGGGTACTTAAGGCCCATTGCTGTGTAGAACCTGATCATCCATTGTGTACTTTCAGAAGTGATACTCAGAATGGTTCCTCATCTATATTCCGTCCTGTATGAATAATGGCAATGCAAAGCAGAAAGCATAAGACCACTTTAAAGGCACTTTAAAAATGAAGAAGCATGTCAGTTTTAAATTTCAATTACAGGCATAAAGAGCAATTTAAGTATCACTTCTGAAAATAACCACATGTGTGCGCTATATTTGTTGGGTGTACTGAGAAAAATTCCAGAGTGGGGAATCCTTGCTAGCCTGTTGCAGCAAAAGAGGCAGAGAGAGGAACCACAAGCATAAACTATTGACGGGCAAAGCCCACTTCCACATATGCATGAAATGATTACCTAAGTTAGCAGGTATATATGTACCTTGAGAACAGAGAATGTTTTTGTTTATTTGTTGCAAGTTGAGCCAAAAAGTCAAGCTATGCAAGGGAGAGTAATATGTATGTCACAGGGTATTTTACTGCTCACACAGGTAACACTTCATGCATTCAGTAAAGGGGACTGTGGCCGACAAAGGTTTGCGCCACAATAAACATGTTAATCTTGTAGGTACCCTAAGATTGTTTTATGATTGTTATGTTATCATTCTGAAGGATTTACACAAGCACTGCAACATTAATTTTATATTTTTTTAATCCTTTTGGCATACTAGAATTATAATGTTCATCACCTGCTTAATTCATTGCACAAGGTCTCTTGCTTTTAGAATTTTTACTCATCATACATAATGGCTTCTTTATTTGTTTTTAAATTTTCTAATTATTTAAAACAATAATTAACTAAGACTACTCAGTTTCTTCCAGGCTTAATTGCATTTTAGTAGCTTTGTGTTAAACTCACTACTGAGTGAGGTTTTGCTTTTTTGCACTTTAACCTTTTTGTTTCATGTTTTAAACAACTGTTTGGTAGCACTAATTTGCAATTCAGTTACTTTTCATTACTTTACTAAATACATATTGGCTGCGATCAGATGTGCAGTTTGATCCGTTGCTGTTCCCTTCCAGATTTAAAATGCATGATCAGACAGCAACATCTGTCAGTTGTGCCCCAGTCGTCTGTGTCCCGTTTCCCCTCCCTCTTACTGCGTGTTTCTTTGATACCTGTGAAAGCCCAATCCTTTTGGGCTGAGCTGGTTTCAAAATGGATTTCCTGTTGTCTGATGCCCCTGTTGCAAACCCAAGCCGTCAGGCAGGTCTGACTGGTCTCTTGTTTTCCTGGTCGCCATTTTTTTAACTAGTTAGTGATGTGCGCATAACCGTACCTCCACATTCAGGTTATGAAGCTGGAGGGAGAGACAGGCTGCCACTGGCCACTTCCACACTGTCATTTTTGTCACTCATTTGTCCCTATTGCTTCAGGGTGTGTTGCTTTCTCTAGTAGTCCCAGAGGGAGCAAAACACATGTGGAAAAGGGGGACACACCCAAAGCAATAGGGAAAAACAAGTGACAAAAATGACAGTGTGGAACTTGCCTTGCCTCCTCTTTAAACAATTTGTCCTGTCAGGGGAAACGACCACCACACCCAGGCTGTGAAGCTGAGGGAAAGACAGGCTGCCACTGCGTTTTTGGTTGCAGTCTGACCGATCAGCCATGGATGTCTGATTGCAACTCTCCATGACCAATTACTCCTGATTACATTAAGACATGTGGCCAGACCACACTAAGCTTGCCATTTGATCACAAAAAGGGACTCCGGCATACTCAGATTAATTTTTTTGCCAAGATATCCGATAAGAGTTTTTTTTGGAAATGTGAATCTCAGTCATAGTCATGTTTTTAAGTAGCAGAATTTAAACATCATTAAAGGTGACATGGCTCTTGCATACCTATTTCTGACGTGAACATTTCATACTTTTAAATCATTTAAGCAAATAATTTCACGTATTTGTGTGCCATATGGGTCTGTTTTCTTGCTGTAAAAGATATAAAATGGCACAGTAAGGCCCTGAAGAAAGTGTTTCCTGAAGGTTTCTTCCTCATGCATCTAAAGGGCTCCAGTGACATTTGATAGCACAATTGACAGCACTACGATAATTTAGCAGCCAAAATGATAGACAGTGAAATATGTAATTAGCGCGCACAGTTTTAACATTGCCTACATTGTGTGTGTAAATCGACTTTTAATACAATGCACTGATGTTTTTTAAAAGATCACTTTTTAAATGTAGTATGACATTAAAATGCTGAGCAGCATACCTGAATTTTGTCATTTAATTTTAATGTAAAGGACTACATATCAAAGCCAATAAACATGCTTTCTAATATTGATTTCATGTTTTTCTTACACTATCAAATTAATTTAAAAATAATAATACTGTGTCTGCGAAACATGTTCTGGCAATCAGGCCTGGTTTGAATATTGAGATGTCTGATTATGGGGCATTTAACTACTGCCTTTAAAACAAACAACATTTTCACATTTGAGCAAATACAAATATTTCATACATTTTGAGTGAAAATCAAGAGCTTGTGCATGAATAGAATTTTTTAAAGTACTACGTTGAGCCAAAAGGTTGAAAGTCTTCTACTTTATAATTGCAAATATGATGTAATAATATACATTTGTTTCTAAGATCTATCATCTGAGGGCAGATTGTCATGCCATTAACAGAGCTGGGGGAAAGCAAACCAATCAGTCTTTTCTGTTTCAGTGCCACAAGTAATAGCAACATTTCAGGGCTTCAGCACATTGATTGTCATTTTGTGACCTTATAAAGCATTCATGTCATTGGATGAGAACATACATGTTCTAATTTTGTTTATAAAGGATGCAGTCCAGAAAGCAATGTCAGTATGTGGTCTTCTGGAATGTGGTCTATGACTGTTTGTAGATTTCAGTTGTATCTTCAGCAGCAAAAGAAATAGCGTGTATTACTTTCAAATTTGCATTCCAAATCAATTGGTGTTCCATCCAAGCCTTCTCTTACTTGTATAAGAGACGTTACTGTTTAAAGATGCATCTTGTTCTGTGAAGAGTAAGGCGGATAAGCTTAGCTTTGGGATGGTTTTACAAGGTGCAACGTGTATAAAATTACTGTTACGTCGAATATAATTTTTGAACTTTTCAGAAATTTTCCAGGTGTTCTTGTGGTAAACGTTTGGATTGCATTTTAATTGTATCATTTTGAACTAAGAGCCAGCATAATGTAGTGGTTAGAGTGTTGGACTAGAATCTGGAAGACCTAAGTTTGGATCCCCACTTGTTGGGTGACTTGGGCCAATCACACTCTCTCAGTGAAACCTACCTCTCAGGGTTGTTGTAAGAACAGAGGAGGAGGAGGGAGAAATGCTGAAAGACATTTCTGGTCCCCAGTGGGCATAAATGAAGTAAATAAGAATAGCAGCAATCGCTTTGTGTGTCAGAAAAAGTTGATTGATGAGAACATTTCATGCTCATAGTTCTCAACAGTTCTTTAAATATACATGTCTTAAGAATACATATACTGTGTTTGTAAAATTTAGGGACATTCCATTAACGTGACAAATACAGTGTGTAGATTTTAATGGTATAGTTTTCTGGGCCACAAAATTTTGGGGCCACGTTTACAAATAAATACCCTATTAAAAGGATGTTTCTGGAAAACACTACTCAGGACCTCAGTTTAGTAGTGTAACAATGGATTCTTTTCTCTAGATGGTGAGCTCATATGGGATGTGACTTGGGCCAATCACACTCTCTCAGTGAAACCTACCTCTCAGGGTTGTTGTAAGAACAGAGGAGGAGGAGGGAGAAATGCTGAAAGACATTTCTGGTCCCCAGTGGGCATAAATGAAGTAAATAAGAATAGCAGCAATCGCTCTGTGCGTCAGAAAAAGTTGATGGATGAGAACATTCCATGCTCATAGTTCTCAAAAGTTCTTTAATATATACATGTCTTAAGAATACATATACTGTGCTTGTAAAATTTAGGGACATTCCACTAACATGACAAATACAGTGTGTAGATTTTAATGGTATAGTTTTCTGGACCACAAAAATTTTTTGGCCACGTTTACAAACTAAATACCCTATTAAAAGGATGTTTTTGGAGAACACTACTCAGGACCTCAGCTTATGCAAGGAGTTTAGTAGTGTAACAATGGATTATTTTCTCTAGATGGTGAGCTCATATGGGATACTCATCCTCTTAAGCCAGCAGTTAGCTCTTACTGCCCCTTAAGACATTTTTAAGGCAATTAAAAAAAATAGAACACCTAAACAATTTAACTCGGAAGTGTGGGAGGAAGGCTCCCAGAGGTCTTACTACCATATAAGAACTGTGATGCAGAGAAAGGCAGAGCAAGGCACTTTTTGTCAGGACTCAATTGTTCTCTCTTTTTTCAGTAAAAGGAAACAAGGTCAGTTTTTGTCCTCTCTAAGCGCAGTCTGACAGTCTGTTCAAGGAACACACTTGTTAACCTTTTAATATTTAGTGCATTAAGTTCCTTGATTGCCCCCACTGATTTCTAAGATTAAAGAAGAGTAGAATAATCTCAGTATACAAAACCTGCTTTTTCTGCATCATGTAAGGGTGACTTCCAGCAATACCATACCGAGAGATGCAGAGCCACATGTACTGTGAATGGTAATATGCCACCCAAATCTGAATCTGCCCTTTGTAGGCTCTGGGGTCCCTCAATTTGTACTATCCCTAACAGATACTTATGCAGTTGACAGTCTTTAAAAGGGAAGGAGATCCCACAGCTTCTCTTAGAAAGTTCTTTCCGTTTCCCATGATATTAGTAGCGAGATGGGCTGGTTCTTACACAGGTGAACTCTGCAGTGCTTCAGGTTTCTTTCCTCTTCTCCCCAACATTTTTGCTTGTTGGCTTATGGAGTCGGTTTTCCTTGGGTATTTACATCTCAATACTCATATGTTGGAATAGCAGAGTTGTTCCTATATATTCATATGAGGCACATTAAAATATATGTTTCCTACCTTAGATACCAAAAAAATTTCTCCTGTTCCAGTAGAATGCATATCGTTTTATTGAACTACTCAGTAAAGAAAACTACTCAGTCACAGAGAACTGAAAGTCTGAATATAATTAATTTTTTTCTAGATGCTTGCTGGATGGTAGTCCATCCTACCCTTTTTTCTGGGGGTAAGGATGTAAAAAAAATCAGATTTGTTCATATAATGGTATCTTTGGACAGTGTAGATTAATTTAGTTGTCCTTGCAAAATTAAAATGCTTTCATGGGAAATTTAGAGATTCATTTTCTCATCAAGATTGCTAGGTTTGACATGTACATCTGGTTCCTGACATGAAAGGTGAGTCCCCCAGTCTTTTTAGAGTTTTTTTGCTGAGATTAGATTGCCCTCTGCTGGCTGGGGAGAATGAGTACCCCATCAAGGACACCCATCAAGTGAATGTCCAAAATGGAATATTATGGTAAGTTCTAGTTTCCTGTTTCATCAAGCCAGTATTTGAGGTAATAATAGGGCACTTTTGTACAAATTTTATTGAGCAAAGTGAACAAACTTTAATTCTTTCCCATTTGTCATTAGTGGAAGCGAGAGCAAGAATTTGACTTACAGCTACTGGAAAGGGCAGTACGCCCAGAAGAAAAAGAGGAAAATAACTGGTTAAAGGTTGATCCTGTGTCAGTGACAGAAGAAGACCTAGAACCTCAACATTACAATTTAGATATTAGCAAAGAGGTAAGAGATTGTCATTATGTTTAATGTCTAAATTCCCATTTTCTAAATGATATCCACTGGTATCTCTTTTTCTGCTGTTTTTCATTAAATCAATAGCTTCAGCATTTACGCAGGAGTTTTTTGCAAGGAAAATGTGTAGAAGTCTCTTCCTTTGGCTATTAATATGATGGGCCTTTCTCTGTCTTTCTTCTACTTACTTTTTATATGGCTTGCAGTTTAGCGCAAACCATAGATTCCTGTAGTTTGCACTTTTCTCTCTAAGCCAAAACTGGGAATCCTGGTTTGAACAGGGTTTGAATCATAGTTTACTGCTTCAGACAAGGCAGTGCATTGTGGTTTGCACTAAACTGAAAGTAAAGCTACATGCAAAAGGGAAGAAGGACCACAGGGGCTTTAAACCCTGAATCCAGTCCTCAGTTGTCTAAACCGAATCATCATAATCTTCTCTGTGGTCTCTGTGCAGGCCACACACTGAGTTTGCACCTGTGTCAAATCCTCGCCAGAAAGCCTAAAAAAGCTTTAACGATAGCCTCTTCTATGCGGAGTCTATCTCAGCTCCATTGAGCACGCGACTACTGAGCGTGCTCAGAGCCGAGGTAGACCTGCCCCTGCTCAGTTCCCTTTTTCCTCGACCTCTTCTATGTGGAGTCTATCTCAGCTCAATTGAGCACGCGACTACTGAGCGTGCTCAAAGCCGAGGTAGACCCTGCCCCTGCTCAGTTCCCTTTTTCCTCGCCTGTCAGTTGGATTTTTTCCTCACTGCTCCATGATAGCTGTATCTATTTACCTCAAGTAATATAACTACCTGCTCTGTAATAAGTGAATCAGTTCTTTCTCTAAGCTGAGGGAGCAACATATGGGATGCACTCCCTTCTTTAAACAGTGCTTTAAATGTAACACTAAGATCCCCCCCATTGGACAGCCACGACCGTTGTTTACTGTGCCTTGGGGAGGATCATAGAACAAACTCTTGCCCGCATTGCTTAAAGTTTACACGCCAAGCTAGAAAGAATAGGGCATCGCACCTCAAAACCTTCTTGTTAGAAAGATCTTTGGCGCCAGTGATGGATCAACCCTGTGGATCTCAACATACCCAACTCCCCCACCCATAGAGCGGGGAGATTCGGTGCCTCAACAGACGGTTACCTCAAAGCCTAACAAGGCAAAGTCTGACAAATCGTCCAAAAGACCAGCCAGCTCAAGTCAGGTTGCTCCAAGATCTAAGGTCACGAAAGGTTCCAGTCTCTCGAAACCAGCAGCTATATCGAAACTGATAGACGATCAGCAGCCATTGAAACCGACGGGGCCACCCTTAGTGTTAATAGGGCTGTTGTCAAATTCATTGTCAGTGAGACGCACACAGACACCATCAGACTCGGTGACTCAGCAATCTACTCAACTGCCTTCCTTAAGTCAGAGGGAGACACAGGGACACGTGGAAGCAATGCTGTCCCCGTCTGTGCATGCTATCCCGCCACTCCAGATCTTGGTGGAGGACAGATGCACCCTATCCTGAAGCGGCACCACAGGAGACCACAACACAAAACATATAGGGGGCACATGCATGAACATTCCCTCACACGCTCTTTGGGCTCAGCAAGTGACTACTCCGGGACCGGTTTCAGTGTAAGAGAGCACCTACGTCCAGACTGGTCAATATCAGAGCCCTATTACTGTCAGTATTCACCAGATTGGCATCGGCAAAGTTACTCCTGTTCATGCTCACGGTCTCCTTCTCAAACAAGACACCATGAGTACCCGAGATTTTGACCACGATCCCAGCATAAGACTGTAACGTGAGGTTCACCATGTCACCGATCACACCCAAGACCACCAGTTGATCAGGGACATCACTTATTGGTGATCCCAAAGGGCAAGGATTGACTGGTTAAAGGTCCAATAATGCAAGAAGCGCATGAGTCATCACAGCTGGACGATATGGAGGATGCAGATACACATCCATTGGTCTCTCCGGCTGGCTCTGATGCGGACTCAGATGGACTGGGATCGCATGAAGAGGGAGATGGCCATACTCCACTGGATCAACAATCTAAACCATAAAAGACCATGCAGACTCTGGAAGGGTCTAAAGGTTTTATGGATTTAGAAGAAGACAAAGAACAAATTGGATTTATACCCCGCCCTTCACTACCCGAAGGTGTCTCAGAGCAGCTTACAGACTCCTTTCCCTTCCCCTCCCCACAACAGACACCCTGTGAAGTAGATGGGGCCGAGAGAGCTCTGACAGAAACTGTTCTTTTTCAAGGACAGCTCTTATCAGAACTACAGCTTGCCCAGCCAGGTGCAAGTGGAGGAATGGGGAATCAAACCCGGTTCTCCAAGATTAGTGTCTGCACACTTAACCACTACACCAAACTGGTGCAATGCATGGGATTTTTTTAGGGATACAATTTTTTAGGGATACAATTAACTTACAAGGCTGAACCTGTCTCTGACATAGTTCATGACATTCTCCAGGCCGAGCTCCCTAGATCTTCCACACTACCTGTGTTGCCACTACACATAGCGACTTTACAAGAAGCGTGGAAGAAGCTTGCCTCAACACCACCTATTCCTAAACGCTACGAGTCCATGTACGAGCTTTGCACATGTCGGATGTTCGTCGGGCCCTTTGCTTTTATTCAAGACCCAGATGTTCAGAAGAGACAATCGCTTGCTTATTTGTTACACTAACCCTCACAAGAGATTTCCTGTTTCTAACGCCTCTCAAAGTGGATTTCTTCTGCCATTGCCTTATGCTATCAACTCACAAATGTACCTTTACCAAGCGTACCTAAAGCTCACTCAGTTAGGGCAGTGGCAACCACCGCAGCTTCCATGGCGGGAGTTGCTGTGGATGACATTTGTGCTGCAGTGACTTGGTCTTCTCCATCAACATTTACAGCACATGATGCTATGGACATCAAGGCTAGAAAGGATGCTAGTTTTGGACAGGCAGTCCCTAAATTAATTTTCCAATGATGGAGGTTTAAAAGAAAAGAAAATAGGTCATAGTGCAGAGAGGAGTGTTACGTATGTAGGTAAAGTAAACATAAATGTTACCTTTAAAATTTGAGTGATACCTTTGAATGTTACACAGTAAACACAGTTCGAAAAGTTGAGTCTGTAGCTAAACAGGTTGTACATGTTACTTACCTTTAAATGTTGAATAGACTTTATGTTCCTAAAGATAAAGTGATACTAAGTTACCTTACTTTGAGTTCTGTACTTGGTTGATTTTGAAATATTATAATAAAGTTCACTTCCTTGATTACTGCCTTGGTTATCTTCATAACTATAATTCCTGTGTGCGGTAGCTGCCAGCACCCACCTTCCAAATTTAAATTCAGCTTGCTAGTCACCCAGTGTGTGGCCTGCACAGAGACCACAAAGATTAACAGGTTGCTTACCTGTAACCGATGATCTTCGAGGGGTCAACTGTGCAGTCACACACGCCCGCCTGGCCTTCCCCACTGCTGGCATCTTCCTGTTGCTATTCTTATTGTGATGTGACCTGCTAGTGGTGTTGGAAAAGAACTGAGTGGGGGTGGGGTTTACCTCGGCTCTGAGCATGCTCAGTAGTCGTGTGCTCAACAGAGCTGAGATAGACTCCGCATAGAAGAGGCTATCCTTAAAGCTTTTTCAGGCTTTCCAGTGAGGATTTGACGCAGGCACAAACCCAGTGTGTGACTGCACAGATGACCACTTGAAGATCATCAGTTACAGGTAAGCAACCTATTTTTATTCTCTCCCCCTCCACTATCTCATTATGCACTATAGAGGGGTGGCCAAACAGTGCCTTGGGAGCCACATGCAGCTCTTTCACACATATTGTGCGGCTCCAGGCAGGGCGGCTGGGGAAGTGAATGGGAGGCATGCCTCCCCAATCAGTCTTCCCTTCCCCAGCCAGTGTTCCCCTCCCAGGGTAGGTTTGAGCTGGGGGGGAGCAAAGAAAGAAAGCAACTTTAAATGTGTTCTCAAAGCCCCCCCTCCCGGCCAGCTTGGAGAAGGCATTTGTCTCTTTGAATCCCTTCTCCAGAGCCCATTTTTCGGGTAGGGCAGGGTATAAATTTAATAAATAAATAAAATAAGCCATCCAGCTTGGGGGTGGGGGCTTGGAGGACACATCTAAAGTTGCTTTCTTTCCACCTCTCTCTCTCTCTCTCTCTCTCTCTCTCCCCATCTAAGTTAAATGTGTTGTCAAGGCCCCGCCAGACTGCTGTACCAGCCAGCTGGCTTGGCTCACATAAGGCATTTGTCTCTTTAAATCCCTTCTCCAAGCCCAGCTGGTGTGGCAGCCGGGGCAGGAGGCCTGGGGAAAAAATTTGAAATTAAATGGAGAACATATTTGAAATTAAAGGTGTTCTCCAAGCCCCCTTCCCCATCTATTTACTTTGTTTTTTTCTCTCTCCCCCCTTCCTCCCTCCCCATCTATTTGCTTTCTTTACACTTTTTTTTCTTTTTCTCTCTTTCTCCCTCCCTCCCTTTTATTTCTCTTCCTCCCTTCCCCCTCCCTCTCCCCCCATCTATTTGCTTTCATTATTTCTCTGCATGTGTTTCTCTTTCTCTCTTTCATTCCACCTCATTCATTCTTTCCTTCCACCTCTCTCTCTCTTTCACAAATAAATATCATTAGCAAACAAATATCATTGGACAAATAAATGTCATTATCAATATCTGTTTTTACCCCTTTTGTTTTTATTTTTGGCAGTGTCCTTTAATGTTAATAATATTTCCCAATAAAAATGTGCGTGTAATATTTGTTCATGTCTTGCGGCTCTCAAACATCTGACGTTTATTCTATGTGGCTCTTACGTTAAGCAAGTTTGGCCACCCCTGCACTATAGTCTACGTGGGGAAAAGTCCTTTGATTTCTAAGTATATTTCTGAAATGCTGTAGAGCCACCTGGTGGTTAAAGGCAATATCTCTGAGATTTCAATAGGAAAGACCAGAAATTTGTCCGGGATGTAAAGTTTTGTAAGCACTCAGCTCCCTAAGGGAATTAAGAAATTCTGACACTTTCATTTGAGCCACATGGGCACCAAGATCACAACCAGGTCTGAGGCTTAAAGGGATGTCCTCTCTCACTCCTCATGACTACTCAAGTAAGGAAGAAAGACGTGTTACTGTTTACACTTATCCAGGCTCTCTGTACATCAAGACATATCTAACCATCTCCCAGTTCACCGGGCCATTTTCTCATCCCAGATTCCTTTCCTTAACTGCACAGAGAAGAAACTGCTTAAACACAGAGAACATCACAACAGAATTGTTGACACAGTCCTTAAGAAGCTAGCAAATTTGTGAAGGAAAAATAGAGTAAAAGAACACCCATGTTAACACATATGCAGAGAGAGAGAGAGAGAGAGAGAGGATTTGCTTGAGCAGATGGCATTCTAAATGAGTTTTCATTCCAATCCATATATTGATAGTGAAGTCAGCAAAACCTGAGGATACTTAAATCCGCTGATTGGAGGTGTGAATGGACAAGACCTTTCTACAAACCTGAAAAATGATAGAAGGGGCAGCTGTAGTTTTAAGCTGTAGCTGTAAGTGGCTGTTGCTAGGAAACCACAGTATTCGAGGCTCGGTTCTGTCAGTAAAAGGCAAGGGGAGGGGGCAGGACTCTTTCCAGGCCTAGTTTGACCTTTGAGGCCAGGTGTGGCTAGACCAGGTCTGAGGCTTAAAGGGATGTCCTCCCTCATTCCTCATGACTACTGTTTCCACTTATCCAGGCTCTCTGTATATCAAGACATATCTAAGCATCTCCCAGTTCATTAGGCCATTTTCTCATCCCAGATTCCTTTCCTTAACTGCACAGAGAAGAAACTGCTTAAACACAGAGAACATCACAACAGAATTGTTGACACAGTCCTTAAGAAGCTAGCAAATTTGTGAAAAAATAAAACCTTCCTGCAAGAGTGTATTTCATTGTTTGCTGTGAGTCTGACACAGAGAGAGAGGATTTGCTTGAGCAGATGGCATTCTAAATGAGTTTTCATTCCAATCCATATATTGATAGTGAAGTCAGCAAAACTTGAGGATACTTAAATCCGCTGATTGGAGGTGTGAATGGACAAGACCTTTCTACAAACCTGAAAAATGATAGAAGGGGCAGCTGTAGTTTTAAGCTGTAGCTGTAAGTGGCTGTTGCTAGGAAACCACAGTATTCGAGGCTCGGTTCTGTCAGTAAAAGGCAAGGGGAGGGGGCAGGACTCTTTCCAGGCCTAGTTTGACCTTTGAGGCCAGGTGTGGCTCAGGTGTGACACTCCAGGTGGGGATTTTGTGGTGGAGTCTGAGGACTGCAATGTTTGGGGAAGAGAGAAGCTTCAGCCGGTTATTATGTCATAGAGTCCACCTTCCAAAGCAGCCATTTTCTCCAGGGGGACAGATCTGTGTCGTCTAGTTCCGTTGAAATACTGGGCGATTTCCGTGTCTCACCTGGAGGTTGTCAACCCCAGGCCTGGCTGCAACCACTGGGTGACTCGATACCGCCTGACGTGGCCTGGCAGCAACCACTGGGTGACTCGATACTGCCTGACTTGCATGACTCAACCAGTCCTGGCTTGCTTGTCACTGTTCAACAGCAGCCACCCTATGAAATCCAGTGTGGTGCAGCCGTTAGACCTTCAGAGTAGGGTACAGGAGACCCAGGTTTGAATCGCCATCTTGCTGTGGAAGCTCACTGGGTAGTTATGAACCAGTCACATACTTTGAGCCTAAGCAACTTCACAGGGTTGTTGTGCAGATAAAAAGGAGAATAGGAGAATAGTGTGAGCTGCTTTGGTCCCCACCATGGAGAAAGGTGGGGTGTAAATGAACTAAATAATAAATATAGTTAGTGCCACATAACGTATTGTTGGTGATGGGAAGTCGCGCCAAGTCACAGTTGACTTATGGCAACCCCATAGGGTTTTCAAGGCAGTTTAGAGATGATTAGAGGCTGTTTGCCATTGCCTGCCTCTGCACCACGACCCTGGTATTCCTTGGTGGTCTCCCATCCAAATACTAGCCGGGGCCAGCCCTGCTTAGCTTCTGAGATCTGACAAGATTGGGCCAGCCTAGGTTATCCAGTTGAGGGCAGATAAAGCATTACATCCTGAAAATTCTGTGTTTCTAATACAATTTTACTGTTTTTCAGTATTCAAAAATTATTTTGAGAAAACGTTGGGAGAGCATTTGGAATTAACCGTAGAAGTATGTTACAAATCTCACCGGACTGGTAGAATGCAATTATAGAGATATTAAAGTGGCTGTTTTGTCCATTTTTCTGCAGATTTTGTGTTGCAGGTTTCAGTTGATTGCAGTTTTATGTGTCTAGTGAGCACGACCAATTCATAACAATCTTTCCTCCCCTCACCCTTAGATATCAAAACCTGAAAAGGTTGCAATTCCAGAGCGTTATGTTGAGCTGGAGCCTGAAGAACCTCTCACTCCAGAAGAATTAGCAGCAAGGCACCGTAAGGCAGAGAAAATAAAGACTATTCTTACTAAATCAAGGTCAGATTTCTATAGTGTGTGAATCTTGTTTGTTTTTAACATTTAAAACTGAAAGAAGCCCATACCGTACCACAAAAGTATAATTATAATTTTATATACCATGGTACTATATTTATAGGAGCAAATGCACTGGAAACCAATTGCATGTTTTGTATAGCATGTTTGTATTTTGATTTGCCCAAGAGATTGTGCAACAGTTTACGGAATCACTCACACTGGCCAGAAACAACTAACTGCTCTAGCACTGAGTGAATTTCCAGACCAAGCATAACCATTTATGGAACAATTCTAGCAATTTTATTTTTGTTCTGCTTATGGTTCTTTGTATCTAACCCACAGTTAGAGCCAGTGGCACACACACGGGATTTAACAGCAGTGTCGCTTGTGTTTGGTAACAATGGTTTCAGATTTTAGCAGTTACTTGCTGGGTTTCTAAACCTGGTTTACACTTCGCTTTGCACTGAAGTTTGGTAACTGTCAGAATAAGCGAAAACACTTAATATACGTCAGAACTGTTTCAATTCATATATCTGCACCACAGTTGCTGATAATCAGATGATGCTGGTTCAAACAAAAGAATAGATCATTTCTCCTTTCTCCCCTCCCTGTCTCCTAATGCTGCCAAATATTTTTACTACCTTTGAGAAATGGAAAGTCCAAATATAATTAAGAGACTAAACACTATCTCCTGTCGAATCCCTAGTTTTCAGGAGTATCATAACCCATATGAGACATTGAAGATATTTCCACTTTAGACTATGGATTTGGAGTGTGAGTGAATGTTGTGTACATCGGATGCACTTAAGATTAATCCCCCCCCCCTATTTTCCTCCTAGTATGCACAACCTACAGCTTCCAGTTTCTCAGGACAAACACAACCCAGCTAATTTAGATTCACAGTTGCAAGAACAAGAACGCATTATTTCCATATCATACGCACTGGCTTCTGAAGCCTCTCAGCGGAGCAAGGAGGTGGCAGGTATTGCTCAGTTATTTATAAAGCAATGTCTGTGACAATGTGATCTCTTATTCCTCCTGATACAACTTCTAAGATTCTGCTCAGCACTACGGACCAATGAAAAACCTAAGCCCTTGTCTGCACTGATAGGCATACCCAAACTAGAGCTATTTGGATGTAGTCCAGTGCAGACTGGAGCCAATGCATGTCTTATACTGTTTGCCTCTGCCATATTAATCTGTCAGGGAGGTTGTCACTGATGGTCACTAATGCCTAGAAGACTCAGAAGTAGTGTGTGAGGTGAGGAGCAGTGTTCCCTCTAAGCTGAGTTAGTGTGAGCTAGCTCACAGTTTTTTAGCCTCTGGATCACACATTTTTGTCTTAGCTCAGGAAGGGATGGCTCCAGAGCAAACTAATTTATGCAGCAGCCAAATCGCTCTTTCACAGCTTTAATGCCAGCAGCTCACCAAGTAGAATTTTTGCTCACAAGACTCCACAGCTTAGAGGGAGCATTGGCACTGAGGAGTATGGAAAGGAAGCAGGCCAGTCGGTATTTAAACAGGAATTGTTCCAAAACAATTGTTGCACTTCTGCTAAAGCATGGCAGGTCCTTCCAATCAGACCCTAATGTACTGGTTAAGATCTAGGAATGAAAATAGCAAAAAAAACGCAAAAGCCTAATCTGAAATAGTTCGAAACATGCTACAAAAGCTTGGATAGAAATTTAAAGATGGAGGATTAATTATTCAGCATTATGTCAATACAGCTTCAATGAGCCATGATCTCCTGGTAGTTTCTCTGCACACTGAAGTCAGCTATCAGTTTTCTTGCCCGCAACAAGGCCTCCTGGTAGTTTCTCTGCACACTGAAGTGCCCGCAACAATGCAGCTATGAATAAGATCAGACTCTGTCATGTCGTCAGTGAAAGTCCATATGTGTTCCCTGTTCTCCATATGCTGTGCTTTACCATTATGTCTTCTAGTACATCGCTTCATCTCTTTTTCTGTCCACGTACCCAGAACATCTCATAAAAAAAAAATGCTGAAACTTGGCTGTTAATATTACCCCAAGATTTAAAACTAGCAATTGGTTTGGAGGAAATTGTTATTGGTTTGGTGGAAATTGTTATTGAAATTTTAGGTATGGTAAAAGGGAAAAACATTATTTGCACAACATGCATTAAGACTCCTAGTACGATACGGAAACAGTAGATGAAGATGTTCTTACTCAGTATTACTTCCTAGTTACCTTAATGCTTTAGTGCCTCACTAATACTTTCAGTGGCATTTTTAGTTCATCTGTCAGGGCCAGCATTGCCTCCAAACTGCCCAGTAGGCTGTCTATTGTCTTATTTTCTTTGCTAATTTTTATTTCTATCAGGCAGATAACAACAATTTTACATCTTCATACTATAATTGAATTATCATACAGAGGCCGTGGTCAGACGTGCCATTTGGTGTGGAGGAGAAGCTAGCCTATTTCACCTGGTTGAAATTGACACGGCGTTGCACGATCACACATCCTTTGTAGCTGTGGGCTCAGCCCGTCACTGCCCCATCAGACAGCACATGGCTGAGTGGGTTTTTTTTTTGCCTTTTGTTTCCCATGTGCATAAACAAGGAATCACACCTCCGCACTGAGGGTTCCCATGGAGTATGCAGTTATGTGCATACTGCTAAGCGAGGGAGGGAAACTGGCACCGAGCCAGGATGGAAAGAGAAGACCATCCCGACGGCATGAGTGTGTGTTTGAGCAATCGGACAGGAGAAAGTCCATCCACAGCCCGTCAGCAAGCATTAGGACCGGACTTTCCCTGTTGTCTTTTAACTTCGCTTCCGTGGCAGGGCATCATGGGGTGCTGACGACTGCTGGACCTTTCCCAGATGTTGTTTTCTGATCATGCCCTTTAGATCTGTCAGGCATTTGCAGCTGAGTCGGATCTAAAGGCACGTCTGACCGGGGCCCTAGTTATGTTTGGTGGTAATGGTGTAAATGGTTCAGTGGTAAAGACTGAGTGCTTATCCCGTTCTACGTACACATGATTACCAAGGACCAAGGCCTGCTTTACTTAGCCATTAAAAGTCTGCTCCCAAAGGGAAGTCAGCACATCAGGAAGTTAATCAGGCTCTGCTTTTGATGCTCCTCTGGGGGAAGAAGTTCCAGCCCTGTAGCTAGGGAATTTTTTGGAAGGGGGCCTGGGGGGGGCACCAGCTAATTAAATCAAAGCACAATGCAGGTAGCAAGTTGGGGCACTTGGGGTTAGCCCAGGAAGGAGGGGCCCCAGAAGAAACACGAGGGGGCCAGGCCCCGTGGGCCCCATGTTAGCTACGGGCCAGAGTTCCACAGTTGCCTAAGGAAGGACTTCTGCCATTATAGTATTAGAAAGAAATTTCTCTTCCTAGTAGCATTTTGGTGTATATGACTCCATTTCAAATTAAAGAAAGTAAGTAAAGCAAGAAGCCTAAGACTCTTCTGTCAGTGGGAGACAGTCCTAAGAGTGCCCAGGGCTGCTCAGCAAGAAGCAGCACTTCATACTTACATATATTCTGAGAAATTTCAGTTTTCCCTTAAATAGAAAAGAGCTCATGGCAACATCACTTAAGGGTGTCTGGTAGACTCTTGGAAGGTAGAAGTGAGCTAAAGCTCCAGTGGATATTTTTTTTTGCCCCTGTTCATTGCAAGCAGAAGATATATAAGTAACTAGATTAGATTTTAATGGGAATCAGATCACAGGATCCTGTCTTTGTTGGGTGCAGAATTTGTATACTTTTTAATGCACAGAATAGTAAAGGTACTTAGCTCACCCAAGACTGTGTTGTCAAGCACATGTGTCTGTTTCTGTGTGTGTGTGTGTGTGCACGCATATGTAAAATCATAGTGCCTAATTCCTGTGTATGATCCCTTCTAGCTCCGCAATTGACCTACCAATCTAATGTACCCTCACCTTCTGTACCTCAACCACTCCCCTTAAGCAATGGATTTCACTACACATTTGTCTAAGCGCCTTAAAAGTAAGGATTAACTGCTCTTGGCTTGCCTATATTGCCATTAACTGTATGCTTTGACATTGTTGGACACTATGATGTTAAATAATCCTAATCAGTGCATGTAAAATCAAGTGCTCTTGCCTACTACAATAACAAAATTCTCTTATGAAGCGCATATGAGCCTACAGGAATAGATAATAACTGCTGTGAGGCCGAGAAATGTTTTTGGCCACTACCTCACCAAGGCATAATGTTTAATTGTCAGATGTTTAGACCTGACATTTTAGCAGCAGCCTAAGGAATAATGTACCTAGAAAAACTTGTAGATGAAATAGTGTGTTCGCTAAGTAGCACAAATAATATCTTCACATGTAGACTGAGATGATGAGAGCCCTTGGAAAACAGATTAAGGATGGACTTTGTAATATTAGGGGGGAAATATACTGTTTTATGGTATTACAGTTTGGTTAAGTGCAGCTGGGAAAATGCTATATGTTGTCAAATGTTCAAAGTTCTAATTTCAAAGTTCTTGATACAGATTGATTCAGATGGGTAGCCGTGTTGGCCTGCAGCAACAGAACAAAGTTTGAATCCAGTGGCACCTTTAAGACAAACAAAGCTTAATTCTGGGTATCAGCTTTCTTTTAGGAGCCAGGCCAAAGCATTTTTGTTTACTCAGCCTTTAATTATGGACTCGATACTTTAAAATAATTTCATAGTGTGCTTTTAGTCTGATTTTTTTTAAAATTCCTTTTAAGCTGTCCAATGATTTACCTTTTATTCTTTGGCTGAGTTTTATTGTTATCTTAAGCCATGTTGAGCAGGTTCCCCAGGAGAGGTGGCACAAAGATTCCTTAAATAAATACATAAATATAATAAAATAAACTACATACTGGGCTTGGGTTGCCATGTCTGCTTTGGCAACCAGCGGGAGAGGGGAGGGCGTGGGGAGCAGCCATTGGGTGATGGCATGACATCACTTTGGGGGAAACCTGCAATTGACATTGTGCCTCTCTAGGAATTGAGCTGAAGATTTCCTAATTGATGTTTGGCAATTCCTAGAAAGGCATAACGTCACATCTGGGTTTTCCCCAGAAGTGATGTTATGCCATTAGCCCAGCAGCCTTTTTTCCTCCTCCCACCACCATTTGGAACAGCAGCAGGAAATGGGAGGCGGAAGCAGAGGGGATCTGCTGGGGGACTGACAACCCCTGTCTTGGACTGATCCTGGATCACCTGTGAGCTGTAGGCCAAGACCTCTTTGGCATTTGCCATTCAGCTTGTGCCTGTGGCTACGCCCAGGCCTAAATACCTGCATGCTTTTAAGGTTCCTTTTTTGTTTGTATATTTATAGGTTTATTTAAATCAAACAAAATTTATTATATCGTTTTAAAAACCCTGCAACTGGAAGTGAAACAGAAGCTCAATCTACGTGTTATGCAGCTGGCAGAAATTGTTTCCAGTATTCCTGATCTCTCTGTCAAGAGCAGACTTAGACCTTTTGCAGGCAGGTTATAGTCCCTTTAGCCTTGATGCTGTTGAGATGTGGCATTTCCCCCAGCTTCCCCATAGCATCGTGTTGCACTTCTGCACCTCCCAGGCTCCCCTTGACTTTTCTCCAGTTTTCCCCAAAACCACTTCACTGCAAAGTCTCTGAGCAACTCCTTTGCATGTTAGGCCACACACCCCTAATGTAGCCAATCCTAATGAATTTCTGGTGTTGGGTGTGGCCTATTGTGCTAATGAGCTCCTGCTGGGCGTGGCCAGTTCAGGAGCCAGCCGGAACTCCGTTCCTGTGCGTTCCTGCCCAAAAATAGCCCTGTCAGTATTCCCATTCTAAGCTTTAAAAAAAGCAACACCTCCTGCTGTCTTGACTATGTGTGTTGTCAGAACAGATGTGACAATATCTGTTAACCATTTTCTGTTTCTTTTCGTGCCAGCAAAAGCAGTGACTGATCGCTGATATCTGGCATCAACCAGCCAATGACTTGGAGGAGGACAACAAGGAAGCTGGCAGACTCACCTTCATTCGCTTCCTTAATTTTTATTTGAACGCATTGTACACATAACTGCAACGAGGGATTTTTCTACACATACACAAGAGAACAATTTAGTTTATCTTTGTTCTGGGCTTTTACATAAACAGCACTTCTAATGTACAGTGTCAACGACTAACATTGGCCGCAACCCACCATATAGGCAAGGTCACATGTCCTATTGGTTTCCATAGGTCTTCAGGGTATGCTGGATTGTAGCCAGTTTTTTTTTTTTTTAGAAAGAGAATATATATTAGATTCTTGTTTTAAAAAACCAAGGGCTGCATTCCTTTTTTAAAAGTACCTTTAAGTCCAAACCCATGTTGTAAAGACAGTTTCTTGCTTTTGTTTTTAAAAGGCAGTTTTTAAGCACATAGCACCGTTTAGGTAAGAGTAACCTGAGTCTGTCTCTAGTTTTTCAGAGTTGATAAAGCCTTTATGACCACCGATTAACAATCGAATGGGATATTATTAAAGTATTTAAAATGTTGATGCTTCTGGAATCTCATGTCAACACTAAAAGGCAGAAATAAAATTTGCAAAGGGTGTATTGCTATTAATTAGTAAACTGTTTTTCTAGATTATAACTCTGACCCAGGCCAGTCCAAGAACACAATGCAGTGTTTTAGAAATGCATTTTTTTTAAAAAAAAAACAAAGATTCAGACTATTTAGGGGGCAATTCAGTCTCACTGCAGGAATGGTGCCCACGCCCAGAGGACTCCCACATGGATTAATAAGAGTTCTGGTTTGCTTTTTCCCCTCTTCAAGGCATGAGCGTGTCATTTGCAGAGAACACAGAAGGCCATTAGAGGCTCTGAACTTCAGTACTTGCATACTCATTCCTTGTAACAGCCTGTTGTTCTGCTTGTGTATTTTTATGTGGAAGAAGGAAACAGGTTTATACCGATTCCTGTGAGAATCCTGGCTAGTGGTCGGTGTGCCTAGATTGGATCATCAAACTGCACAATAAAACCATTCATAGAATAAGACATTTCATTCATAAATATCTGTGCTCTTTTTCCTCATGTTTTCAGTAACAAAAAGTAAAAAAAACAAACCCCAGCCTGTTAAATGTATGTATTTTTGTGTTAATTCATCTTGTGCCCACAGTCTGGCTGAAACAATGTATTTTCTTGAGTCTTCAGCAAAAGGCTGACCATTAACAAGATAAGAAAAAGAGTTAAATGTATTGCTGATGCTTCTCACTTGGAAAAACTGTGTCTGTGTGTGCTTGAATTGTGTAGGTTGCAGGTCTTCTAATACGCGGTTTGCATTGGGTTAAGTTCAGCAAATAGAAAATTCTAAATTCTTTGTATTATGAACTTTTACTCACTTTTTTGCAGCATTTGCCTGTAGCAGTCTTTTTATGCAGAATGTATTTAATAATTCATTATAAAATACAATATAAGATCATTTGGTCTAGTTGTAGAATTCGTAATGTGGTAGCCTTAAAATTACATGGCACCCTCCACAAGAAGACCATGGTGAATGGCCCCGTTATTGCAAGAACAGTCCCACGATGCCCCCATCTGCCATTATGAAAAATCCAGTCTTAATGGAGACTGCAAGCAGATCCAGGGATCCTTCAGCAGAAGGAGCTGACAGTCATGAATCTCCCCAGCTTTCATTTCCGCACAACAGTCCTTTCTGACTCTAGGGAGATTGACTCCCAGGCTCATAGGATCCACATGGGCTAATAATGATACAGGGCAGGCGAAGGGGTCAAGGATTTGTCAAGGGGACAAAATCACTCTTCCATCTATGGCGCTCTCCTCCTCCCTGCAAGCCACCAACCAGTATGGCTACTAGTCCACTTGGGTCACACAGCCCCAGGATTGGCAAGGGCAGCTGGGGGAAGGGGAAAGCGGGGAATATCTGTTATACTTGCACTGGAACCAACCCGATAAAACTGGTTAAGGTTTGCAAGTGCTGAGTGTTCACCATGTAGAGGTTGCTTTCCGTAACACAGATTGTCTACTAGTTAGCGTTGAGATGCTAAAATCTCCACTTGCAGGACCATCCCATCTCTTTTCTTAGAAGTGTTTGTGTGTCCAGCGGGAAATTGAGAACTTTGCCTTCTTACGGATAAGAATTAGGAAGGCCCTGAGGTTTCACATTCCCACTTATTGATGAGTTCTTGCAGTATAAGAGAAGTGCACTGTTAAGGATTAAATGTGTAAAAAAATTAGCTCAGGGTGTTGATGTCATGTTGGCTTCTCAAAATAAGAGGCATAGAATAGGAAGGTATCAGTCATTCTGTATTTAAAAAGTCCCACTGGGAGCATCATAGGGTTGCCAAGTTGATCTTCGCCGGGAGCGGTGGGCTCCCGGCTGGCGTCTGGCGCACGCGCTGCATGCACATCACCCGGAAGTGACGGGAGGGCGCCAAGCACGCTGGGGGTGGGGGCACGGCCATACAACGGGAAACCATAGAGTTTTCCCTTGGATGGCCATGGCCCTGCCCCCAGCGTGCCTGGCGTGGTCGCGTCACTTCCAGGTGACGTGCACGTCAGGGTGGAGTTCCCCCCGGGGCCCGATCTGGTGGCGCCGGGGAACGGGCCTCTGGGGCGGGGGTTTCCCCGCCCCCCAGGGGGACTTGGGATCCCTAGAGCATCAAGCCCTTCATTATATATAAACAAGCTCTCTGGATGGGGACACATACGTTCTGTTGGACAAGCAATTGGTGAAAGTAAGGGGTTTTAATCTAGTAATCAGTGGAAGGTGCTGACCAATATGGATGGCTGCCACGTTCTCCTTCACTCAGCAGTCTCTTCCTCCAGTCCCAGGGAAGTTGATGCTTGAGGTCACTTCGTCTAATATCCATGCCAGCAATGAGGAGGGGAAGGAGCAAAATTACCTCTCCTCTCTCCTGTCCAGGGAGCTGTGCTTACGAAAGAAAGATCTCACCTCCTTCAGTGCAGGCCTTAACCCTCACGGTTACCATATTTCACAGTTTGCAGTATATATAATTTTTTTCTCTACACAAAGATATAAGAAATGTCTTTAGTAGCTGTACCCTTTTTCTCAGTCTCACATCTGTTATCTTTCTAAGTGCTAACAAATTAATTCTAGTACAGTCCTGATTCCCCTTTCCTTTTGTTTGGGGTTATTTAGGCATAGCCGCTTGAAGAAGTTACACACACACGAGCTGACATATTTCCATTCCCACCGCTAATGGCACAATCTATGCAATGTTACATCCATTTAAGCGCATGAGTTTAGAATGGAATACTTCAGCATAGGATTGCACTGTCAGGTAACTAAAGATACTGTCTGTTTATCAAAAAGAAATCAACAAGTGATTAAATAAAAATTCTTACTCTATTTTGACTATACTTGGAAACTAGAGAAATATATTTAGAAAATGCAGTTTATTTTTTAACGAACTCAATACTGCCAGTGTCAAGTCTGTAATATTTTGCCAAAATCAAATGATTTTATTTTTTGCCTTTATAAAAACGTTGAAATAAATATTTTGCAAGAAAGCATTAATTTAAATAAAATGTAACCGTTTGGGAAAATGTATATGTGCATATTAAACTATTAACGTAACACTTATATCTGTCTTTTTGTTTTCATCTCTTCACCTGTTTGTTTGCTTTTTATCCAGAATTCTGTTTGTGCTTTTGGTCTGAACTATTTTTGGCTGCTTCTAATTGTCATTCTTACTGGCTCAAATTACAGTGACCTTGTGGGACAGGAATCGATATTTCCTATTTCTACAAACTGTATGTCATTCAAGACCTTGTGGTTAGCTCCCTGTCCTCATACAGATGTAACAGTGCTCCATAATTTAACATTATACTGGTAAAAAACCCTGTTTAACACAGTGACTTAAATGTTAGATTCTGGCTATAGAATTCTCAAATTCAAACTCTGGTCAGTCGTTATTTCTTAAAAAGTATGCCCTGCTTTTCTACCCAGTGGGTACCCAAAGTGACTTATATCATTCTCTTTTTTCTCCATTTTGTCTTTACAACCACCCTGTGAGGTAGGTTAGGCTGAGAGTGTGCAACTGGCCCAAGGTTAATGAGCAAGCTTCCATGGCAGAAGGGGGATACATATCTGTGTCTCCTAGATCCTAGTCCAAGATACTGACCAGTGCCCTACATAAGCATGAAGCTGTACTTAAGTCTGCAAGTTACTCTCCAGTTATACTAATCCATAAGGCAAGCTGTCAACTTAAAATAGGATTAATCACAATCTGTTCTGGGTTTAAATTAAGGTGAGAGATTTAACTTTTGGGATCATTCCCATGATCTGCATGTCTGAATGTGTCTCTTCAGTTTATTCAGGAATGGTCTGTTCTGTTAAGATTTTCCATCTCTGCTTCATGCAAAATGATAAAAGTAGCATGCATCTGTCCCTGAATCATTTCAGAACTCATTTGATAGCTGCGGAATTTTGTCTTCCAGTAGGGTGCATATGAAAGATTTAATATCTGTTACAATTATGCTAGGCATGATTTTAGCATTCTTGAAGTATGCACTCTCTCACGTGTACCTTTTCCCCAAGACAGAAGCCCAGGGAAACACTTTATCATTCCTAAAACCATTAAAACTTGTTTTCAGTAGATTTACTTTAGTCTAAATTTTACTCCTTTTCCTGGCTGGCAAATAATTTCATATCATATTATTTATACTTGATTTTATATGGAATAGTTAGACAAACATACATAGCCTGTCAGTCCTCCTTTGCAATTATGGCAAAATATTATACAAGCCCTTTTGCAGAAGACATTAGCCAAAGAAATGTCTGGCAGCTTAGGCTGGAATTTTAAAGGATTCAGTAACAAAAGCCTGCAGCCCAATATGCACAGTGACAGACTCTTAATTAATTTGGTTCACACTATGACATAAGAACATAAGAGACGCCAATGTTGGATCAGGCCAAAGGCCCATCCAGTCCAACACTCTGTGTCACACAGTGGCCAGGAATACCAGGTGCCATCAGGAGGTCCAGCAATTTATGGTATGAATCA